ATAATAAAAACACCAAACACGACCAAAGCGAATAGTCATTGTTTGTTTCTTGGATTTAATTTCAATATACCTACCCCCATTGAAGTGCCTAAAACTATCATTCAATTATCGAGCTCACTCTTTTGATCTTCCCTTCCTACCGCTTTTACCCAAATAAAAGCGTATACAGGACAAAGGTATGTGATCAGGGTTTAGCTCCTCTTGATACTTTTTTAAACATTGAAAAATGTTTTTGACACTCGTTATTCATTTATTTTACTGTTTGTAATTGATAATTATTCTTATCAATTATTTATTTACAATCTATACAAAAATTAGTTAACTACGAGGTTGATTTCTATAGGATCTCTTTATCCTGAGCTCATCTTTCCCCGGCCCGCAATTAGCGTTCAACGCTATTAGTCGGTCCGTGGTCGTAGGCGATCCCTCAGGGGTGAACCACAAAAGCCAAGAAAGACCTGATAAATAGTAGTTAGTACAACAAGTAAGTGTGATGACAGTGAATAATAAAATTATAATAAAAATTGCGTTTAAGGGAAGACACTCAGCAGTACCACTCTAAGCTAAAGTTTAAAAAAATGACAGATATCAGAATCTAGTAAATAGATTGGTAAAAAAGTGCTAAATACATCCGTATTATAACCGTATCTAATATCTATAAGAAAATAACTATAATAGTAATAAAGTAAGTAATTCTCTAATTTATTATTAAAACTAAGTGTTAAAATAATTTCCTATAAAACGATTTGATGATGAACTCCGCCTATATTGTAAAAGTTATTTAATACAATATACCTTTTTTTTTTGCATATGCATCCATAGAGAAATGGGGGGGGGGTAAGGCATTACTTCCCGCCGGGTAATACTATATACCTACACAGCTACACCATATAAAATGTTGAGAATTGTGTTCTTAAGATTTTTTTTGACAGAAAACACAGATATTTGAATTGTATTTTATTTTATAGGTAACTACGAGATCTTTTTCTAGTAGTAAAACAAGAACTACCCCAAAACGTTTAATCGTTTCAGTCGTCTTTGTAGTGTGTCGACTCCAGCTCGTGAAAAAATCGAAGTAAAGAAAATTAAGAAATCAAAGACACCTAAATCAAAAGAATTAAAAGGCACTTACGATACATTCTGGGATCTACCGTTTTGTAATACAAAATTTTTTTGTGATCATACAGTAAGCAATGTAAATACAGGTAAAACCTCCCTTGTAAGACGTGTCCGTACGGTGTGCAGTCAAAAACTGGTGGGATGGTGTCACGAAGTTCCCATTGCATGTGGCACTCATACAGGTGTTCTCGCGAGTCATGTGGGCTACTATATATATTATAATAGCAACAATGGTAATGGGTTTTAAATCTACGGTCACTATAAAATGTAGGATATAATTTATAGCTTATATTAAGCTTTTTTAGTCTTTGTAAATTGACTTTCTTATTTTATGTCGTACATTAGTTTAGGCACCGTCCTGTCTAGCTTGCACGACTGGCAAAAAACAGCAACTCGTTCTACTGTGATATTATATTATGAACCGGACACTGCAAAAACGGACAGCGAAGGCACCGCTTGGGAAGTAAATGACGTAGCTGTTTACACGCTATGCTATGCGCATTATTAAGGGGAAAAAAGATAAAAAGCTCAGCAGTTTGGCAGCGGATATTACCCTTGTCGTCTTTACGTCGTTGAAAAAAAAATACTACCACAATTTAAGTACTGTATACATATAATGCGGCGTGTATATGTAACGGGCGTTCTTCCGGAATCGCCGTTATTATTGAAACGATACATCAACCTCTTACCTCAGTCCTCGCCGCCTGTACCGCCGGCCCTGATGTTACTCTTGTGTATACATATACTCTACAGGAACCACCGTTCGATTGTCTTGAAAATTAAAAGTTAATACATATAAATCACCCGGAAAGAGGAGAAGGGGAAAATACAGAGGCAAACGGTACGCGCAGTCCGCAGACATACTTAGACTTGGCGCACACTAATTTATCGACAGATCGGTATTACATTTAAACATTAAACCGGCGGCGCTCACTTGAAATATATTAAACTATACGGCGATATTGGCTTTAACTATGAAGTATATGTTTTATTATAGTTAAAAAAACGCCAACAAAGTGGAGTCTGGCCAAATAACGGGAACGCTGCATATACCGAGGTTACAGTTCTTTTTAAGTATTTTTTTATTACAGTTCTTTTTATTTTAATTTAAATATGAATTAGTAACACTAAAGCCTGGAAGTAACGACATCATCACATTAAAAAAATTGCTTAAATCTTGTTTGAAAGAGCCATATTAGTTATATTTAAATAAAATTTAATTTTGAGCTAAAAGTGACACACAGATCAGTTATTTAATTTACTCGATTATTTTTATTGTTTATTGTATATGAAGGGTAACTTATTTTTAAAAAGAAAGATATAGGGGTGCATTTGTCTATATTTAATATCATCGCATTACACCATTAAAGAAAAGAGTAAGTCATTATTAAGTAATAAGAAGTCATTATCGCATTTAAATGTGATAATGTCATCAGCTGGTTAGTATTAGGAATTTTGATTGTTCTATAATATTAAAAACGTTGTTTATAAATAGTAGGAATAATCAGGCAGACAAACGATCTCTTTGGGAGACGCCAAAACAACATTAATACTTTCTGAAATGTAGTTTCTATTTTTGACAAATCGGATTTGATTAGTTGAAAGACCAAAACCAGGATAAAATTGGATCACAAATATCATATTTGATATAAATAGATCATGGTTTACTCTATCGAAAGCTTTTTTTAGGTCGGTAAAAATAATATTAATTTGTGTACCATTATTAAAAGAATCTAATATTGATTGCTTAAAAATACATAAATTAGTAATCGTAGAACGTCCTGTTGGGAAGCCGTGTTGTTCATTAGTTAAGATATTTTTACATAAAAACCATTAATTTCTAGTATGTGCAAGTATTCCGAAACGTTGGCAAACCAATCAATCTACTCAAGTGGGACTTTGGAGTAACCGCAAAATGTGTAAATAGTGTAAATACAATACCTATCATTATATAATCAATCATTCGTTGTATTAATTTTTGGGTTTTCATCAATAAAAAGTGTCGTTGCAGATTTGTGAATTTTTTTATAATTTAAGGGTACACGCTAGCTCTAATTGTTGGGCTCCAAGTTTTGAAATTTATTTTAAAACGTAGGTAACTAATGCTATACATTTTTAAGTTACGACTTACGAGTTATGTACTGAACATTTTGATTGGTCAATTAGGAAACGTATTTTCTAAAAATACCAACAAACAAATTTTCAAAATAATTAAGTATCTTAAATTTACCACCCATACATGTAAAAATATTAAATATATCTAAACAAAAATCACAATAAGTAGTAAGCAATAATAAGCAACAAGTAAATATTAACAAATATTAGCTTATGAAAGAGAATAACAGCGATTAAATATTAAATATAATACATATAGGCACTAATGCATACTTATAAATTATAATCGTAAGAAAAGAATGAGAAACGAGACATTATAATTTACACAGCAGAGATCTTCAAGTTATTTCTTTAGATAAATTAAATTTATAATGCAGTATTTGAACGTTACAATATTATTTTTTTGTCTTTTCTTGATGTTGGATTAACATTTTAATCTTTTTAATACATGGATACCTTGCTGTAAAATTGTAAAATCTTTTACTTACACCTACAAAACCTAATTTTTTTAATGATTTTTAAGCCTAAAATATACAGTATAATAGTAAATATTATAGTTATTTAAATACTAAAATTTGTATTTTACAAGTTAGAACATTTTTTCTGAGCTCATGAGTTAGCCAATTTGTACCAAAATAAAATGTCAAAATTGAACAAAATCTTTTATACTTTTGATACCTAACTAGAGGCTTAGCCTGTTAGCTTAAACCCCTAACCTTGCTTCACTGTTTTGTTTATGACCATTCTTGATCGATTAAGCGAAGTCCAATGTCAAATATTTTGTAAATTATACGCAAGTCAAAGACGGTCCCTGGTGGTTTTAACTCACTAAATAATATATTATTATTTAACCGTTTGTTTCCTGTACCCTTGGTATAATATTGTAAGATATTTAATAATATATATACATATATAATATTATAATGGTAAAAAAACGTCAAAGCGTTTCCTAGCAGGGCGGCGGCGTGGCGGACGCCGAGGAATGCTTTGCGCGCCGTTGAATTATTCGCCTCCCTGCGACCGATATGTTGTTTATGATAATATAATAATAATAATACTATGATCATCCGTTGACGGCATTTTGTCGGTTTCATGATGATGGTTGACCAACCGGAAGTTATTTTAATATTCAGCAGTTCGGGAATCCCTTTGTGCTCGTATAAAATTACACGCCGTTTTGGTTCCTTGTTTTGTCAAATCGTATATTTCATATTATAACCGCTTTGCCGCCGCAGTAAGTATTGTATAATAATAATTATTATTGTTAAGTTTTAGTAGAGGAAAAGCGAGTGAGCGAGAGAGAGTGGTCAAAGTTTACAAGCCAACACATATTATTGTACTTCCTATATGGTTTTCATAAAACGTCACAATAATAATAATAATAATAATTGTTTGTCGGACGACCGGTGCTATCACTACGGTCATCTGATTCTGCCTGCTCTTGCTGTATTGTAGTTACTCGTATTACACGGTTGTTGTGGCTGTTCAAGTCAACGTGTCCTGCATGTGATGATTAATGTCTCTGGCGCATAACCGGACACGACGTCCTTTAATAACGCGTCACAAAGGACACGGGTTATTGTGTTATTTGCCAAAGTTGACATTTGTCAAAGGGTATTCAGGTCGTTTCCCATACACACGGAGAAGAGGAAAAAAATGCTCACATCCCACACACAGACGGAGCGCACTCATCAGAAAAAGGTCCCTCTTTTCAACAAAACAATTTTTTTAATAACAAAATAAAAATATATAATTTATCAAGACGCGAATAATAAACACTAAAAAAAAATATGTAAAAAAAAAAAAAAGTTGATTGATAATTCTTTAAAAATAAAATAATACAAATTAATAATAATAGAAAAAAGGGACATTTTATATGGCGATTGTTATCCTTGTCTGGGCGTGCGGGTCGCTGGCTATAGACGGTACGGAGGGGTAAATGTCTATGGGCAAATCCCACACCATAGTCTCGATGTCAATGTGTTCGGGACCCGTCCAGCAGGTGCCCTCTTTGGTTTCGTCCAGCCGTTCCCCGGTGGCTTTTGTGCCGGTCACAAACTCAAAGTGCAGTCGCCATTTGACACAAACTGAACAAAAAAAAAAAATGTAAATTCGTTAAATTACGATATATTGTAACGAGTCAAGGCTGGGCGTAACCAAGTTAAATGGAGTTAAGTTAAAAGTTGAGTTATTTTCCCGGCGCTTTTTAACTTGACAAGTTATTTTTGATAGGGCAACCTCCACACTTTTAATTTTCATGTAAAAAATGTCTAAAGAGATTCACTTTTATGAACAGCAGATCATGCTTAGCGTAAAAGTTATAAAAACCTTAAAAAATGTTTTAAATGACAAGTCATACAACTCAGTTTCTAATTTACAATATATAAATATGAATGTCTGTATATGGGGCAGTCCGAGTCAAACCACGCGGTTATCGGGCCGACCTCCTCAACATTTTTCGAAATTTTTTTTATAAACTTCTTTTGGTAAGACTAATTTTTTTGAAATTTTTATCATAAAATCAGATCAAATATTTTCGTCTAAAAACGGGAATGGGCCGAGATTTGTTTATATTTTTTTGTTTAGTAATGAAAATATTTTTTTCAAAATCGGAAAAATAAATTATTATTTCAGTTTTTTTAATTTTAAATAAAATAAAAAAATAAACATGTCTTAGTAAAATTTAATTTTTTGCATATTTTGGGAGTAAAAAGTGAAAATGTGCCTTACGAATAAAATTAAAAACTAAATTACATTTTTTTTCAGATTAAAAAAAAAAAAAAATTTCATGACTAAAAAAAAATATAAATAAGTCTCTGCCCATTCCCGTTATTAGACAAACAGATTTGAGTCTGATTTTTTGATAAAAATTTCAGAATTTTAAAACTAGGTCGAATTTGATTTTTTGTGAAAAATAACTTGACAACTAGGTTTTAAGATTTGTAAACTAAAATTAAATACCAATGTGAATTTATTTTTGTTATGTAAATGTATGAATTTGAAAATTTTAGCTTAAGAGAGCGTCGCACAGGTGATTTTCAGTGGTAAAAACATGTTTAAGCAGACTGAAAATAACTCGCTTAATTTTGGGTTTAGAGTGTCCATTATAAAATTAAAAAAAAAAACAATATTCCGGAGGGCAAGACGGTGCGTTTTTTAAAAAAAATTAATTTTTTGGAAAGTTAGTCATTTAAAAATGTTAAAATAGTCGTTATTTCTAAACTATGTATTACGCGTTATACTTAGTATAATGAAAAAAACGCACCGTCTTGCCTTCCGAAATATTGTTCTCTTTTAATTTTATAATGGGTGCTTTTACTCAAAATCCAAAATTAAGCGAGTTATTTTCAGTCTGCTTAAACAAGTTGATATGAAAAAACATTTTAAAATCGCTTTCAAGGATGCTGTGATATTCCAAAAAATAAATTAACTACCAAAATAGAGTCCTAGTTATTGAACTAATAATTACACATCAAAAAATTTTAAATAATTGCAAATCATTTTTTTTAATATTTAAATTGTTTGCCAACTGATGTTTATTAAGTGAACTAAAAAATAAAAGAAGTTGGATTTATTATAAAATGTTTAGATAAGAAAAAATCTAATATTTTACAGCAGTAATAATAGTTTATAATTATAATATAGTATGCATAATTACCCAACAGCGTGTTAAAAGCTGGTGTAACATTAAGCGGTATGGCTAGTTGTAAGAATGACTTTAAAGTGTTGGCGCAAAACTGATGTTGAGTGTTGTAAGAAGAGATGGACAAGTTGTCTCTCCGGTGTCTAGGGTTGGCGACGATAAAGGCTTTGTTTACAGATTCTTCGCATTGTAAGCTTACGGTAAACTGTTAAAAAAAAAAATCATCATGACATTTATTTCAGAAGTATCATTTAAAAAAACTATTAGCCTGAGAAATCCACAAAAAAATATTAAAAAATACTAATTTTTTATTTTGCATTTAGATGAAATCAAAAGATATTCTACTAATAATTTTGATTGTCGGATTTCTAATTAAATATTAGTGTTATAAAAAAATTATATATATTATTTTGCGAATGTGAATTAGAAAAGAAGGATGTTCAGTAAATTTGTTGCAATTATCAAATACAACAATAAAACTAAAAAAAATTGTATTTAAAAAGGAATGAACAGGAGCTATTTGTTAAGAGGCAAACGGTCAAAATGTAACATATATTTATCTAAGAAGAAATTTAAGTACAACAACAAATTAAAGGGTAAACGACTGTTATAATTATTTTCAAAAATTAACATTCATAAAATTGTATTTTCTTTACTATTGTGGCAAGGAATATAATGTATCTCTTGTATACATTTTAAAAGGTATTTTTATGGAAAACTTACAACTTATTATATTTGGGTTTAAAAGCTGATTTTTTTTTTTAGTTATTAGAAAATTAACTCAATTTATTATCAAACTAATTACCTCAATGCATGGCACATCTGTTTGCTCAAAATCAAAGGTTCCAACAATATCTTCTCCAAGTTTATAAGCTTGTTTAAATAAACAAAATCGAGCTACTTTCCCCCGTGAATTAGTTATATTGTAAAAGTTTGGACTCCGCTTCGCTGTTATGTTCTAAAATAAAACATAATAATAAAGTACATTTTATGTTGACATAATATGTAAAATTGTAACTTGATTTAAAAAAAAACTAATCACAATTACAATTCTTGCGGCTGATGGAAATAGAAATGACCAAATAACTGAAGATATACAACAAGCCTTACATATTTAGGCTAAGAAATAAATGTGATTATGATTTCGACAAAAGTGTAATCCAGCTTGTTTACAATACAAAATAATAACTTACACATTTTTATATAGAACGGGAAGAAAGAGACGTATGTGACGAAAGTGCAGAATTAATATTGTAAAATATCAATATTTGACAGAGAAATAATAATATCAAACCAAATAGTTTTTACCTTATATTTAAGGTTATATAATTTATACATGTATGATTGACAATTAAAATTGAAATAAACTGAACTGACGACCCATCCCGATTAGCAAATTCATCAAGAAACCATCTCATGATGACAGCGTTGGGCCTTCGTGGCCCGTTAAGCTACATGATGATGATAATACATACAACAAAAGTAATGTTTTGCCCTAATAAGCATAATGGCCATTATTTAAATACATTTTTTTTTAAATTAAAAAATGTTTTATAATAATTATTATTAAAATGTTTAATTAGAAAATTATCAGGGTCTACTAATAAGTACCTGGAGATTTTGAAGAGCCATATCACATTCCTCGTGCTTGTAATTTGATTCTAAAAACGGATTGCTCGGTGATAAGTCAATGCTGTTCTCACATGTCACTCCTTCTGTTAGACCTAGAAGAAAATTGAAGTGTCACAATAAAATGTACATTATTATTAAAAACGTATATGTTCTACATTACTTCGTATGACTACTACACGAAGAGGAACTCTTAAAAGTTTAATTGGACTGTTTAGACGTTGCATTCCAATAGTAATTTTGTATGCATATTTAACTAGATGGCCTTTGTATGAAGGTGGTGCGTCATTTGATATGGTTTCACTGTATAGATCTAAAATTAAACAAATATTTTATTACTATAGTGTCCGAGGCGAGATTGTAAGCCAAATTAATTTTACATACATGATTTACTTTCGCCAGGAGACAAGCCAACATCACAAAATAGTATTTTTGGTTTTGTAGACAAAACAACATGACCATTTTCGTTGAGGCAAGGAGCGAATGATGTTTCAGAATTACCCAAATATCTCTCCTCTTTGGTAACGCACATATCTGGTGGGAAGTTAATGGTGTCGTTGGTTAAACAAAGACAGTTAATTTGGACACTAGCCCATGCCAAATTTTCCAGTACATCACTGAAACAACATATTACATATTGGAAAGTATTATACAATTTCTAAAAGCATGGTATTGACTTAAATGTGTCACTAAGCAATTAAGGTTTAACTCCTTGAATTAATGACATATAAGACGAAAGAAAAACATATATAAAGAATAACCCTTTAAGCATATGTATATATGAGTCTTCAATGAAAACATTTTACTTCCTACATGAGGTAAGATTTTTACAATTTTTTATAGTTTGACCCAGTGTTAAAATTGTTCCACTATCGTTTGGCTATCTCTACACAGCTCTATACTCCGGACACTTTAAGAAGGTTCTTCATCGAGTCGATTCCACCCCGCAACATCATAGTTTGGCACCACATTCTCTGCATACAGATACACAGTCAACTCAAACACTGTATGCATTAAGTACTTGTAGAACAATAATTAACAACATTCAAGTAGCTATAATTTTTTAATTAAAAGTTTCTAATTTAAAAAAAAATCAATAAGAAAAGGGAATTGTATACCCTTTTTCTAGTACAATATTACAAAATTTCTCACTAACCTATTACTCTGACTTTTAGAATCTGTTGGTATCGGTGGATGTGTAAATGTAATACAGCAACCGATTTTGCTGCCTGGCATAAATATCGGTCCACCAATAAGTCTGGCTGATACTTCAATCATCGCACAAATAGTGTTTTTTATTACACTTTGTCTTAAAAACTTAAAATATTTGAAACTGTATTAGGTATCATAAAGAAATGTGTAATGTTCTGACAATAACTATAAAATAGAATTGAGATTTGAGACTACAGGTCACTTTTATTATTATTAATTACTATCAGTTAACAGCAACACAAATTCGCTATCATCAATACAAATGCAATACATTTTAAATTTATTGATAACGATTTTAAATTATCAAATATTTTTTTGTGTGAAGTTGTGACTCGTGTGCAACACCACTTTTCCCAAATTGCACAAGTTACCAAGGACCTTTTTTCCATTGTACACCTATTTCCAATCACTAGTTTCTAACAGATCTTTTTAACTTAACTTTTAACTTGTAACCTCCTACTAGACTGTAGTTTGCAAACTTAGTTATTTTTGGTTTAGCGGAATTACGAGGGCGAGTAATATAGTATTATAGTAATATAGTATTTGTTCCACACGTTTTATCTTCCAATGAACATTTGTTAAAATATTTTGTGGAACAAGTCTGCTACACAATCGATAGTACTAATACCGAATTAATAGTTTACTATCGTATTGATTATTATATTCTTAACTTTTGTTATCAATTATAACTTATAAGTTACAATTTATGTACCTAAAATATTGGAAACTCGAGTATTCAATTTTTTTCACTGCCATAAGCCATTACAACACTCAAAATAAGAAACATTTCGAATAAAATATAGCTGTTGGTAAATTTGATGACAATAAAGTAAACAAATAACAATAGATCAACATTAAATCCACCTTGCATTAGATACTAAATTTCCAATAATCGATATCGAAACAAATAGCGTATAAAACGTTAACCGACATTGGCTCGATAACTCTTTTTTCGAATACTTTCTACATAATATTATAATTTATATATACCGCGCATATAAACCGTGTTTGCATATAATATATCTCCCTAATCTATATAAAAACCGAAAGCCACTAGCATTGATTGTATTTTATAATCAATGCCACTAACAATTTTTAGCGTCAAAGTCATTAAAGAATAACAATAATACAAAAATAAATAAATAAAATTAATAATTTCTAAGGGACATGATTGTAAATATATATGAACCCGTAAAGCTGGTAATAAAACATACAAATTAAGCACGTGTTCTACAATATACTAGTAACTAATATAATATTTATTATACTTTGTGATGTCACCATTATTTTTGGAACACTTTTTTCATAGATTTAAAACATATACACAGAGCTAAATGAATAAAAAAAACAAAATTTAACGGATTTTTTAAAATTTATTTGAGCATATCAATTTTCAATACATATTATTATTATGGTATTAATATGCATTGTGTGGTCTATGGCATTTTTGAGTTTGACATCATGGAATAATTTCATTACCACTTCTGAAAAATTAAAGTATTATTAGTTTAATATTATAATAACTATTTGTGTTCTTAAATATATGTCTCCTATAGTATAAAGCTAAATTTGTTGTCATATATTTTAAAATAACATTCCATTTTTCTGTAAATAATGTTAAAAAATAAATTTAAACATACTTATATTTAATTAATCATTTTACGGAACTAATTTTAAGTTAAATTAGTCACAAACATAATATATTGGGTAATATAGTAAAAGTTATTACAATTCAAAATGTAAAAATCAATAAAAACTCTATAAAATGATTAAGTTATTTTATAAGTAACCTTAATAAAAGTATGTTTAATAATTATAATTTATAAAGACCAAATTTGTGTAAGTAAAAAATAATAATAAATTCTCGAAAAAACAGAGGACCAACTAAAATTAAGGTTTATATAGGGTCACACTAAATATATAGTACTAGTACCATAATTCATTTAATAGTTTCTTTAAATAAATATTTAGTTGGATTAAGAATTTATATAGTTTTATCAACAATAAATGTATTGTGTCCTTATATTTACCATAATTTCATCATATATTTATGAAAAAAAACATTAAAAAATGTACAAAAAAATTGGTTAAATCCAATCGTTTAAGTTGTTATTTAAGAATTTCATTATTTCATTTAAGTTCTCCAAATTTGAAAAAAAAAACTTAAAACTTACCGTGGCTTGGTTGGCAGCGGAGCTGGTCTTGGCGACAGTCTTGATAGCTTTGGCGGATTGCACCTGTCCGACGACAACGATGTTCATTGATACCTTTTCTGCGCCCATTTTTGGTTTTTGAGTTGGTTCTTGGAGAACTTGCGAAGGAAATACTGAAATTTCGAAATCAGTTTTATTGGCATATTAATATTTATACGATACAATTATATTATTACGAAAAGAGAATAATGCTGTTAGTACTTACCAAAGTATAGATTTGCACAAAAAACGTGTTATGCTCGATCTGAAATGCTGCACACCTATTTAAACTGTTTTGTATCAGATGCAATCGATATGGCGTGGTCTCGTTACAGTCATCCGATGGAGTGGCACCATATTTTTCCGTTCAAAGTTCAACACGGAATATGGATTATATAAGCTATTTGACTAACAATACCAAAACAAAAAAAAAAATATATATATATATATTCCAGAGAAATAATAATGCAAAATGCATACATTTTGAAACTGAATGTTGATCTATAGGTAACATTAACAACCTATTGCACATTGTCGCAGTAGACAGATACTATCAAATGAAAGTCTCAACTGAAAGATATCTCATTAAAAAAATTTTGATTCAAACGTAACAGCAAATGTCAAAAAGGTCTTGTCTACTGTAATGTGTAAATTATTAAAAAATATTGATTGCTATGAACGACAAAAAAATGGTAACATTATAAATTGAAGTGTTGCAGTTGGTTAGCAAATAACTTTTTTGTAATAGTGATCTATTTTCATTTTTAATATATTATTAAATCAATTTTGGTAGTATAGTGGACATTTTTTATTTTAACCCAGATAAAATCGAATACATTTTATTCTAAAAATATCACATTCTAGCATTCAAGTGTAAATTGAATGAAATAAATTTATCAACCTAGCCTTTGTCACTTTACGGTTTCTCGATTTCAGCGTAAAAGTTAACAAAGTCAAGAGCAACAAAATATTAAAAATAAATATTTTATGCGACTTAACATCTGAATATCTGTTCTGTCTAACTACATTTGTATGTTTGTATATGCGGTGTTGGGGTCTTCTATTCATGTTTATTTCTTTTAATACCCTTTTGACATTCTTTCCTATGTCGAATAACTGTTTTGGTGGCTATGGAGATTTTTAGTTGTACCTAAAAACCAATTTGTACTAATACAAATTTTTTTTTGAATTTTTTAAAATTATATATATTTTTTAAACTCGTGTCGATTGAAGGCTTAGGAAAAAGGTGGCCGACCCCAAATAGTTATGTGATGAAGGTGAAAAAAAAACAGTCAATTTTAGTTAAATCATTTTAATCGCCTGGTATTAAAGTATTGCAACGTTAAATACATTTAAAATACACAACTATAAGTTCCATGTACAATTTTTGAGTAGCACGCGCCCCATTAGGTGTAACTAACTTTACACTACCTACGTTGTTAAGGGGCAAAATTAGGCAATATTTGACAAAAATTGATCTAGGAGACATTTTAAACATGCCATCTAATTTAAGGGCAAATAAATATGTTTATAACCAGTTTGACTGGTCATAAAATTGTTGGTAAAGTTATTTTTCCCAATAGAGAAAAATTGATATAGAAACTTCATTCCACTGTAATTCCACTAAATCGAAAAACATTAAAAACCCTGGCTGGACAATCATGTCAACAATCATTATTGTATTGTCAGAAGCGAACACGATTACTACTTGATGTAAAATTTGTATAACCAGAATATATCTAGATTTATTATAAAGCTCCTTAAGCATCCTATTATCGACACCGGGACCAGGTTTCGATAAACCAGAAGACCCGGGACTTTCGGTAAAATCGTTCACAACTTTAGTTGGCCAATATCTTTAAATAAAAAAATTCCTTGATGACCTTCTGTAAATAAAAACAACGACGGTTAATTTTGATATTTTTGATTTTTCCAACATTTACTACAAAGTACAAAGGCTGTTCAAGCACCGTGCACGCCGGTGGCCGCCATACTGAAAAAAACGGCCGTGTTTTCCGTGTAGGAAGTTACCAAACCTGGTTAAGACGTGCCGGTGTAATTTCTTATCAGTGACAATATAAATCCCGCCAAATTATTTGTTTGGCAGGGCCCGTAGATACGAGCTGCACCTTACAAGAATAAAATACATTACATTACATTTGGTCATTATTCATGAAATATGTGATTATTCATTATAACTAGGCGAAACCCAAACATTTTTAAATTGTATTTGTAATAATTTCGTACAGAATTCAGTTTGTTTGTAGTTCTAAAATAATACATTATTCTTATCATAACTATCGAATTCAAAATGGACTCTGACTATAAAGTTTGCACTTCTATCGAAGAAGTCAAGACAATTATTTCTTCGGAGGACAATTCATTCGATGTTTTCATTGAGTCTGAACTACCTGAGACGACTAAAACGGAAAAATGTATTTTAGGAATTGATGAAGCCGGTCGGGGTCCAGTATTAGGTAAGTTCAAGAAATGTCTTGACAAAATTTCATTTGATTGTCTTCAGCTGTCTTTTTGTAGGACCAATGGTGTACGGAACATCATTTTGTTGCAAGGACAATCAAGATATTCTTAAAGCATTGGGATGTGCCGATTCAAAGGTTCTCACAGAACAGGCTCGTGACGATATCTTTGATGGTATAACCAAACAAAATGATGTGTTAGGATGGGCAGTGCATGTCATATCACCAAACACCATCAGCAATTGCAATTTTAGAAGGTACAATACATTTATACAATTGTGTTTAGTTGGGTTATGAGTGTTTTAAAACTTTCTTGGATCGACTATTAGTTGATAATTTTCAGACCTAAGTATCCATGTTGTCATTATTTAACTGACATTTCAGACCCATTACAAAATTCATCTTCAGAGCAGTAGTCATTGTTTCATTGGCATAGAGTAGGTATAGTCGCGACAGTGGATCGCTAAAAACATGGATATATATGAAAACTATCAAACTATAGTTGGTTAATTTTTTAACTATAACACAAATTTTTCGTATTTCAGACAAAAGTGTTCTCTTAACGAAGTTTCTCATAATGCAGCAATTGGCCTAATACAAAGAGTCATAGATAGAGGAGTAAATCTTTGTGAAGTTTATGTAGATACTGTTGGACCAGCTGAAAAATACGAAGTAAACTATCATAATCTATTTGTTTTATTAATATTGAGAAATCTAATGGACACAAAATTGTAGAGAAATCCATATAACCTTGGTTTGATTTATGTGTTAAAAATATAACATTTGCAAAGGTTTCAATGTGGAATGCTTATTATTATTTTCAGGCTAAACTTTCTGCCATATTTCCACAGTTAAAAATTAAAGTATCCAAAAAAGCTGATTCTTTGTTTCCTATTGTAAGTGCGGCAAGTATTTGTGCTAAAGTTACACGTGATGCTGCTTTAAAAAATTGGAAGTTTGCCGAAAAACCTGATGAAGATATTGATTCAAAATGGGGAAGTGGGTACCCTGGCGGTATGTTGATTTTTTTAAGTTATAATAATATTATCATGTAACATTCATATTGTTACAAACGGAATAAAAAATTTGGGAACAAATGCACTTTACCGGATACCCTTTATTCTTCGATTTTTTTTTGCCATATTATAGTGTTTTTACGCTGATTACGAATCTGAAGTCAGAATTAGGCGGACTCCGTTAGTTCAATAGTTATAGCTAGTGGGAATTTGCATATTTCCCCTATGTAACAGTATGCGGCAAAGCCGTGCGGCACCATTGGCAATAACTGATAAGGACGGCAGGTCTCCGAGTGTTTTGGTACTCGCTCGCTCAGAAAAAAAAAAGGACCACAAAGGGCGCGTACAGCTACATAAGGAAAATATGCAAATTTCAACTAGCTTTAACTTTTGAACTAACGGAGTCCACATAATTCTGACTTCAAATTCAGATAATATTTATGTCAGACACGTGACATGGCTTCTAGAGCCGTTTTAAACCGACTTTACTTTAAACCTGTGATCTCCTCCTAGACTGTAGCCTGCAAACCTAGGATATTTTTAGTAAGCGAAGCGACAGTGCCGAGCGAGCGAGTGCCAAAACACTCGGAGACCTGCCATCCTTATCAGTTATCGCCAACGGTGCCGCATGGCTCTGCCGCGTACTGTTACATAGGGGAAATATGGAAAATTTCAACTAGCTATAACTATTGAACTAACGGAGTCCGCCTAATTCGGACTTCAGATTCGTAATCAGCGTAAAAAAAACACTACAAAATAGAAAAAAAAAATTGGAAAAAAAGGGTGTACGGTAAAGAGCATTTATACCAAAGTTTGTTTTGTTGATTATCACTAAAAGGAATTACATTTTTTTAAAAATATAAATGTTAAATTAAAATAGTTCTTTAAAGATTCAATTTTCACTCATTATTTGTTTATTTTGTACAGACCCAGTGACCAAAGACTATTTGACAAAAAATATAGATCCTGTATTTGGATTCCCTAACATAGTACGATTTTGTTGGTCTACGGCCGAAACTATTCTGAAAGACCGAGCAATACAAGTAGATTGGTATGTAATTGAAATTTGTAGTTATTTGATAATATCATTTTAGTTTTGAGTTTAAAACATTTAAAGTTAAAAACAACTTGGTTTTTTATGAAAACCTGACCTATTCCAACAATTTTTAGGAACTAACATTTTCTGGAGTTCTTTTTGCACACTGATTACAGTCATTATATCATATTTTAGGTCTGACGAAGATGAGGATGATGATAAAAATACTGTTCCAATAACTTCATTTTTTGCTCAAAATGGAAAGAATGTTCAACAAAAAACTGCATTTTTTGATGACCGATGTTTAGTGGTAACCAACAAAATATAAATTTAAAACAATGTTGTACACATTTTATTTTCACTAAATGTATTGTAATATTTTTATTTTGTAAAACATTTTAACTTAATTATAATGTAAATTTAAATATTAATTATATTTTATCTTTGTGTCTTGGTAATATTGAGTTTATTGTATTATTGTTTTAGCTTTGTATCAATCCACTATAACCTAAATAGTTATAGTTCACTCAATTAATTTAAAGAAAAACATTTTTTTTGTTTGGTTTGATGAAGTATGAAAACAATATGATACTGTAGTTAAAGAGTGATCACTAGCAGATCTATAGCAATATATTTAAAGATAATATAAATACAAATATTTTCACATAAAATAAAAAAATTTGATGTATATAAAAATATAATGTATTTATAAAAATAAAAGTAATCAAACGCTAATCATAAATTTTCAATGCATACAATTTTCTTAAAATTTATATTTTCAATCATTCGTCGTTATAAAATATAATATAATATATAAACTCTTAAACATTTAATATTTTAATTAAATAATGTTTATATAGCCTTTATAAAAGTATATTAAAATATACTTACTAATAACTAAAATATATTTATTGTCTGATGGGACTTTTGAGTTAATTCACCAAAAAAATATGTATAACGTAAACAATTTTTTGGACACAAAATCGTTTTATAGTGGTAGACTCAAAAGTCCAATCATGCAAGAAAGCGTTAAAACATTATCTGATTAGAAAGTTAAGAATGAAGTTATGATTTTCATTTCAATTAACTTTAAAAAAAACAAATGAATAAAACAATATCAATGTTGAGTATTCTTTCTTACTAATTGTGGAAAACTACTTTTTGGTTGTGTAGAATTAAACTTGGTAGCAATATACATAAATGGTTCAAACAATGTATTACGATCCAATGCGTTTACTTCGAAATGTTTCATTTTTTCTCTGATGGACCAATGAGAAGCTCGACTTGTAGGACACTCTAAAGTCGGAGCTTTGATATCAATTTCCCTCATTTTATGTCCCAAAATTACATAAAACACCTAAGAAAATATTAACAAAATTACTAGAAATTTTAGTTTTATTGTAACTAATGTTATAGAGAATCAACTTGCATCTTTTTTTTCTTTATTTTTATCAATTTCTTTTTTTAATGTAACCAAACAGTCGAAGGTTTCTGGCCTACTAGTGTCGTATACTAGTATAAACGCATCCGCAACACACGCATATTGTTTAGCGATTTGACCAAACGACAATACAAGAGAAGGATCAGGATTTGAGTACAAACCCACTTCAGGTAATTGAGTTAAATCCAATCCGGCCGTGTCGTAAAATCGAACTTGTTCTCGTAGTCCTTTGTCTGTTTCAATATAGGCTTGGTATATATCTTCGATAGTGGGCCATAATTTCTGTGTTCAAAAATTAATAAGTATTATTAACGAATTATTATCCCCTTTGTATAATACAAGGGTCCTTACATAGTGTTGACTGAAATGTCCATAAATCGCTTGTTCTAATATTGCAGTTTTCCCGACGCTTTTTACGCCAAAAACCACTACACGATAAGTCTTTACCATATTTCTTAAATAATTATTATTTAAACCATATTATATTATTTATGTGTAAATATATTTATTTGTTTACGTTTTGAACATTCATTTTAAAATTTTTCCAGGATGTGTTTGAAATCCTATCATTTTTTTTTATCAATAATTCTATACTGATTAATCGTGCTGATTATTGACTAAATTTAATTATTCAAATTTTAAGATTTGGTTAATGATTTTAAATAGTGCGTCGTCCGAGTTTTTTAATTTATTTTTAATTGTATTATAATATTTTTCATGACGATGATCTATATTTCGATTTTAAAGTTTGAAATTCAGATTTATTAATTTTGAACTATACATCATGGCAATATATATATAGGTATATCAGTAACTTGTGTTATTATAGTTTACAATATGGCGACCGGATGATTCTCATAAGAAATAAGGTACAGCCGGCAGCCATTTTGTAGTTGTCACAAGTTGCTGACATACCTATTCATTTGTCACGCCGCCGTTAACCGCACGTCAACGGCGGCATCTACCGAATAACTTTTATACTCAAGATATCAATTGGCATAATAATGTTTATGTTTTGAACAAATATTTCATTATCATCAAACATCATTAATCCGGATTCCGGTATGATTTACAAAATACAAAGCGCTTAACGATTGAAGTTTCAACTTTCAAGTTAATAAATTAACATTTTTTTTTCGAATCAAGATGTCTGACGACGAAGAAATTACTTACGTTAAAAAACCCAAAACGATCCATTATGGTTCTTTAGAGGATCAAGAACGTGCTCGTTTAGCTCAGTTGGCCGCACTCGATGATGATGGCGAGCAAAAAACTTCCAGTGGAAATATTAATATTTCCAATGGTATATATATTTCTAATTATTTAGATATTTGGTTAAAAAAAATGCATTTATTTATGAAGAATTTAAAAATTTAAATTAATGTTTTGTAGAGTACTTTGATTTGGAGGATGCTATGTCCAAAGACAAACAAGCATTGTTAGAAGAATTTGAACGTAAAAAAAAAGCTCGACAAGTACAAGTGTCTACAGACGACGACGATGTTAAAAAAAGTCTTAGGAAACTTGGTCAAGCTATTTGTTTATTTGGAGAAGGTCCAGCCGAAAGAAGAAATAGGTTACGAGAATTACTGTCCAGGTGCATATTATTTTATTTACTAAACTTTCTTTTACAATGCTGTGTACAAAGAAGTATAAATGTTTGTATCATACTTTTTTAGAGTGGGAGAAGACGTTGTTATAAAAAAACCTGAAGAAGAAAGAGAAAAACGACAACAAATCAAAGATCAAGATACAACGTGGTATCATGAAGGACCGCCATCGTTATTAGATTCTCGGTTAGCTATAGCAGGTATAAACTATAAAATAACTAGAGAGCTAAAATATGATCTAATGTGTGAATATCACTCTGATTTCCATGTAGTTCACTATTTTTAATTTAGGATTTATTGAGGCGCTTAATAACAATATTGAAGTTTGTTAATATAATTTTTTTATGTTGTAGAATACTCATTATTGAGATCTCATTTTCGACTAGAAAAATTGAGAGAAGAAGCTAGTATACCTGAGTCTACTCTTACGGCTCGTTTGCAAGACTTACATAAATATACTACGTCGTTATCGATATATTGTAGTCAAATTGGCGATACTAGGCCAATATCTTACTGTCGATTTAGCCCAGATTCACAGTTTATAGCTACATCATCTTGGTAAATTCTATTAAGCGGGGATCCTATGGTACAAAATTTAGCTAGCGGTTTGGCATTCGGTTTTTGCCCTTTCACTTTTATTAAAAGTAACCGACATAAATCAGATAGGTGCAAGCCAAACTGAGTCTAGCAAAGTAACAGGGATTTAAGCTAAGCTAGACCGTTACTCAGCTTGTAAGAGTCCTGAGCCACTCACTAAATCTTGTGTCGTGGGATTCCAGCTTTAGTGTTTTTAATTGATGTGCTGAAATTAAGTAAATCTTGGAAAATGTTCAAAAAAAAAAATATTTATCATTTTTTAGGAGTGGTTTGTGTAAGCTTTGGTCAGTTCCAGACTGTAACTTAGTCAAAACATTCAGAGGGCACAACTGTAATGTTTGTTGTATAACATTTAATCCACAGGCTAATACTGAAGAAAATGTGTGTGATCTTGTGTCGTGTGCTAGCGATGGGTCGGTTAAACTTTGGTCCATGAATAGGTAACATATTTTTGTATTAATGTGTATTATTATCAAACAACAGCTAATGTTACTATTCTCAAATTATAACTAACAATTTCAGCAAAAAAGAAGAACCCGTAGCAGATTTGGAAGGTCATGCTCCGTTTAGAGTGTCACGGGCTATTTTTCATCCTTCCGGTAGATTTTTGGGAACTTGTTGTTTTGATAATTCGTGGCGTTTATGGGATTTAGAACAAGCAGAAGAAGTACTCCACCAGGAAGGTCATTGTAAGCCAGTTTATTGCATGTCGTTTCAATGTGATGGATCAATCGTTGCTACTGGGTAAAGATATTTTCTTAAATATTAATACAAAGTTAAGAGCACAATGAGAAGCTTGGTTTGTTAGGCGAGAAACAATCCAGGGTCCCCTCTCTCTGGCGACAGGTTTATGATCCGTTCCGAGTATCATATCTGTATGCCAAATTCCGATTCCTAATAGTACAAAATTAATTAAGATTTTAAATTATTTTCAGTGGATTGGATGCATTTGGTCGTGTTTGGGACTTGCGAACAGGCAGATGTATTATGTTTATGGAAGGCCATTTAAAATCAGTCTATAGCATAGACTTTTCCCCAAATGGGTATTATATTTTTTAATTTATATATCTTTTTAGTATATAAATATATTTATTTTTATTTTTAATAACAGTTATCAATTAGCTACTGGAAGCGAAGATAACACATGCCGTATTTGGGACGTGAGAAAGAGAGCTTGTCTGTACACAATTCCTGCACATATGAGTCTTGTATCTGGACTCAGGTATCAACCAGAAGGTCATTTCATTGTTACATCGTCTTACGATAACACAATTAAGGTAACTAATAAAACTATCCAAATTGTGAGTTTATATAATTATTTACTGGTTTTTTCTCTTCTTCAGATTTGGGCAAATAAAACGTGGCAAATGTTAAAAACATTATCTGGACACGATAATAAAATTATGGGTGTAGACATATCTTCAGATTCAAAATACATAGCGTCTTCATCCTACGATAGGACTTTTAAACTGTGGGCACCTGAATATTCAACTTAGTCAGTTTTTCTTTTAAATTGATTGGTATATTTATGTTTTGTTTTTTTACATACTAAAATTTAATAAATTGTACAAATTTAAATAAATTATATTTTTTATTTGATATTTCTAATTTTTGCTATTACTGCTACTACTTTTGGTGCAGCGACTGATGATGATTTCATAGTGTACTCTTCATTTTGTAGTCTTAGTAAATTCATTATTTGTTTAGTAGTGTCGTTAAGTTTGACCCCCAATTCTTCCAGTACATATCCCAAATATTCTAAAAATAACAATAACTTTGATGTGAAAAATGCACAGAGATAAGTAAAACAATTAAATGAACATTACCTATGTCTGCTGCTAAATGTTGTGCAGCAAAATTATTAAGATCTCTTAAAGATTGAATTTGTTCAATATACAAATCACACGTGTTATTTGCCAGTATTTTCAGTAAAACATTAGTATAACTTTCTTCCTGATTAGCATCAGAATACCGTCGGTCAGCCAAGTTTAAAACTATAGTTATTGCTTCGTTATCTCTTACTAAAAACGGTTCAACATGTTGAGGAAGAGTAATTAGGTATTGGCCTATCTAAATTAAAAAAAATAAAAAATAATAATTAATCTGCAAAAATAATGAGTAAAACTAAAATATACATTTAAATTTACATCTACGTATTATACAGTTACCTGCGTAATATATTCTCTTGGTGTAAATCTATGTGAGTCGGAATAGTTTTCTTTGCTGAATTTTACTTTGTCCACTTGTTTTAAGTAATGAGATATTGGTAGAAATGATATTTTATAAAATGTTTGATATATATGTGAACATAATTTCTCTGTTCCTTGAATTGTTTCTCTAAAAAGCTTCCATTGTTTGTCTGTATAAAAAATTAAAGCTCTAATTGTTCGACAGTTGCAATTAATGAAAACTATAATTAAATTTAAATAGTACCTTCTTTTAAAAATTGAATGATGGTATTTAATTCTTTTTGCTTTTCTTCAGAAAGCAAATATTTTGAAGTTTCCAAAGCTAGATTTTCGTTTGTTAATAGACAGCTTTTAAATTCCGATTCCAAAAAGTACAGTTCTCGTAAAAATTCTCCTAAAAATAATTTTTCATGAGAAATGTACATTATAAGTAGATATATTTATAATAACTACCAGAAGACTGTAAAAACTTTAAGCATATTTGAAATAGGTTCCAATTATCACCGGATTTAATTGTTGTTAAAATTTTTTTTAATACCTCTTTTCCTCCTTCGATAATGCTGGAAAAAATTTTCTAGAAAACAAATCTTAATCAGAGTAATTCAATCATTTTGTTGGTCACAACTTTTTTTATAATAATCATAATTAAAGCTCAGAAGTTAATGACCATAAATTTATCAAAATATGCCTTTATTGAAATCGGCTAACCATTTTAGCTGAGTTATCGAATAGACCTTTTGACATAATTTAAAAATGTACTTTATATATCAGGATAACATATGTTAATTAAGGATAAGTTTAATTTTAAATCTAGTCATTTGGGTATAAATCTGATTTTACTAAAAAATATGCATTCATAATTATACACATTTGAGCTTTTATCATAATAAATACACGACTACTTACGTTAATTGCAAACACCATCCCTGGGAAAACACAATGATTGAACACCGCACTTCTGCGTTTTGCTTCTTCCGAAGTTCTAAATCCCGTCAGTTGAGATTGAGTAAAAGCTTGTACAATATCTACTAAATCGTCATTATTGAGTTTTAACTCAGTGTTTTTTTTTGTATGTTCATATTCTAATTCCTTATAAGAAGCCAGTTGAGGAATTAAGGGACGATATATATTAATAAGTACATCATTCCAATCAAACGATTCACCTATAATAGCAAAATGTATATAATCATTAAATGTGAAATATTTTACCATTAATAGTCAGTATAAATATAAATTATGAAGTTCGTACTAATTTTTGAATCATTTCTAATGCCTTTGATAAATAGTTCTGTGGCAGTAAATAAATTCAATAACAGAGTAAGTGGTTCGTGGTGAGCTTTCATGGAAACATCGACTAACTCAAACAATGGAAGTTCTAACGTATTAAATAAATCTCCATACGACAGGATCAGCTGTGATTCAATTTCAGGTTGTTCTTCGTTATTAAATAACTTTTTAAATAAAACCATCTGGATATAAAATATTAAGAAATATAATTATTTAGAAAATGTCTTATCTGCTCTACAGTAGCAACACCAGAAAAACATCTCAATTCCCGGTTGGGCCACTGATAAATATTACAATTGTAACATAACAAATATATTAACCTGTTGTTTTTTTCGCTGGATTATGGCATCATAAAAGTTTTCAATAAACAATACAGGATTTGTGGAACTTTCTTTATCGTATATTTTAGATGACCATTCTTTGCGCAATTTATTTTTGTTACATTTTATATAATATTTGATAATCTGATCGCGTTTGTCTAAATCGGTAAATATTTGTACATAACTTTTTGATTCATCTGAAATTAACACACCAATTAGTAAATTAAACTTAGATTAATAACAGTACTAACTATACCAATTTTTTGATTTTCAAACGCGTCATTAAGCATTGGAGTCAAAATAACCTCCAGTTTGTTTTTTAATTCTTCAAGTTGGTTTTTTCTTAATTCATAGTCAGATACATTTTCCAAAACAGCTAATGACTTTTGCATTCTGACCATTCTACTTGTTACTTGTTCTAATTCTTCATTTTCAATTAGCTTAACATAAAATATGCTATTATTATTACATGTAAATAATTAGTACTATTAGTAATAATATTTTTTACAGTTTCAATGTCGGTTATAAGTTTAGTCCAATTGTCTGCTTCTTCTAAAGCATGCTTTGTTATTTCCATTTTACATTTTATTTCATCATATATTTGTAACTTTATTAATGACTCTCCAGTATTACTTTTAACCTTAAAAAAACAACTAACTTTTTATTGTTTTTCATACTTTAAATGATTAAAAAAATTAACAGTTACAGTATTTATTTCCTGTTTTAAATCAGTGATTTTTTGTTTGATATGTATCGCTTGGTTTTCAAACTGCTCGATATCATTGATTACTTTAGGCAAAGAAAAAAGAACTTGTTCAGTCGAATCATCTAATACTTCATTGACTTGTTCTACACATAGTTGTAACTTTTTTAACATTGATGGAATAATCTGTCAACATGCATAAGTTATATTTATTAATTAGTATCTAGTATTTTAATAATGAAATATATAATAATTATAAATTAGTTATAATTGGATCTTGCTTTACAAAATTACATTGCAAATAATATACAAATGGTTTTGTTAATAAATCATTTTAAAGTTGATCTTACATAAAGATTATAAGATATTTAAAAATGTATTACAAATAGAACTTTTGGTGGGAGTTTGAAATTGAAAAACTATTTATTATAACAATAAGCTGTTCAAATTTTACAAGCCCAAACAATTAAAAACATAAAATAAATTTGTAATTACTTCTCGACATTGATCTGGAGGTTTATCTTTTAATGTATTATTGATCCAATTAACAACATTAAAATCTTTTTCAGAAAATAATGAAATATCCTAGAAAAATTTTTTTTTTTTATTAGATAATTGTATAATTTCATAACGTAGTTTTAACTACATTGTATAATTAAATCTATCAAATTAATATAGATTTTACCATTTCGTTGAAAACTGTTCAAACACTCAAAACATGAACAAAAATACTTATAATTACTATAAACATTTTTTTAAAAAGTCACGTCAACTATCTTATTTTGAAGACGTGATGTGATTGGAACTTGCCACTTGGACCATTGTAGGTCTTTATCACATTAATTTGTATTTATTTTACAGTGTTATCAATGTTTCTGTAATATTGATATTCTGTGTTTGTTATTATTATTTTTTTATATTCATTATTTAAATGATAAAAAAAGTATGATGTCGAGGTGATCCAACAGCAATCTGTTCTACTTTGATTTTCGAGCGGCATTGTTATAAAGAATGTAATTCAACTTTCAAAATGTAAAATATAAGGTTTTAAATTAGGTAGTGAGTAAATGTAGGTATGAACTTTGAAGATACTACTTTTGCCATGATTACGAATTATCTAATCTGGAGAAATATGTACAAATTTTGATTATGATTAATATTGACGTTCGGATTAATTAAAATGAATATGTCTACAACATAAATAGACCGATTTGAACATGCTTCATTCGAGCTTCAAGTGGCAAACACTGGAATATATATTTATTATAATTAAAACCTTAGGTTATAGTATTGGGTCAAATGTCTCATAGGGCATGACGGTCCGAGTACGAGTGTCGGTTACCCCGCATCCTAGTCCTGAAAAGTGGAAAAAAAAACCATCGAATTTTTTAACTTTTTATGATAACTTATCATGTTGAATGTCGGTTCTACGTTCATGCGGTTCCAATGCGGTCGGTCGAGCGACGGGATAAACGGTTCTCCGACGCGTTCTGTTCCTCGTGCGGTTACAGGCATCTGGCATACGCACTCTACGGCAGCTGCTCGTTCCACCGTGCAGTGCTGCAGCTTGTACCGGGCTGAACTCAGCAACGGTCGCGGACTTGTATAATCACTTTGATTATTGTTTTTTTTTTCCTACCGTTTACATACATTTCATCCCGTTGCTCCGCCGCTGGGTTTTGTTGTTTTGCCGACGACAATTTTCTCGTCTGACCGACCGTGTGCGCCCGTCTTGCTGTCAGATCGTCGCCAAACCCGTTTAATTATCGTTGTTCACAGTCAAATTGGTCGGCAAAACCTTCGGCACGGCCGTTGCAGTCTACTGACACGTTCGGCGTGTGACTGCACGGGCCCGTTCCCTCCAAATCGCCGTTCGTCCCGGCAACATTCGGTGTGTGTGTGTGCGTGTGTGTAACGTATCCTACCGCAGACAACAAAGGACCGCGGGTTGACCAAACCGGAGGCGCCATGCCGCTCCTTCATAAAAAACCGTTCACCAAAAACCCGGTCCCGAGGGGTCTTCGGGACACGGACGAAGTGTTCTACTGCGAGATGACCAAAGAGATTTTCCTCAATTACGAGTGAGTACACCCGTTACGGCAACGGTCAAAACGTACAGACGACCCTGGCCCCCGCAGCGATCGATCTCGTTCGCGTCCCAGCGTTTCTGCCAACGGACAAAACCGAAAACGGTTGTTTTGCTGGCCAACGCTTTTTTTGTCCACTTTCACCTGAGTTTCGTCATAATGACAAATGTGCCATTGCCCAACACGCCACAGCCGAAAATTTAAGGTTAATTTATCACTCAGTGGCGTGTACCATTTGACTGTCACCTCACCGGTGTCAGCATTTAAGTCCTAATCGTTGTCCTAATCGAAAATTGAAGTCCTTTTAAACGTACATTGTTTACCACCAGTATCCGTCCCCGTTAAAATAGTTGCTACAAAAGAGCAATAACTGATGATTCAGTATAAATAGCCTGTGAATTGTCGTACCTATATGTTGTGTCGTGTCCAAAGTCACATTGGAAACAACCTTGTGGCTTTGGCTATGACAAATCAAAACTAGAAAAAATATACTTTAAAATCTATAGTCGGTCCCTTATGGTGTTACTTAGGAATAGTGAAATACCTGGAAGGGTCTAAGGGTACTTGCCACTCTTCCTGGTAACTCGAAATAATCAATGTAATGATGTAAATGTTCATTGCATTTAATTTAAATGTGAATTTATCCTTTTTTTAAATTATTTACAGACATTACGTAGAAAGAATAATATTGTGCAACTCATTAGTATGGTCTTGTGAACTTACTGGTAAAAAAAACATGACCTACAAAGAAGCTTTAGATTGTGAATTAGAGTCCAAAAAAATGTTAAATGACTTTCCTAACGAGGTAAACATTTATTTGTATTAATATTGTTTTTGATTTTAATATTTTTGATGTTTATATTTTTTTATTATAGCTTCAAAAGCCAATTTTATTCTTAATATCTCTGACAAAATGTTCTTCACTGAAAGAACTCATTGAACAAATATTTAACTATGTAAGATATCGTTATTTTATATCTGAAATTGTGGAAGTTGCTTTAGAACAAGATCAGTGGTAAGATAAAATATTGTACTGCCTTTTACATGAAATTGTCTCAAATATTATTTTCCAATAAGTTTGAGAATGTTTAATGATCTGAAAATTCATTAAATAAATATTTTAATTATAAGTTAAGTTTATTTAATTAGACGTTCTTTAGATAAGTAATATGGCACTTCAAACAAATTTTCTTTATACTTATTGGATGATAATACTATAATTTTAAGCCTATAACACTTGTTATGATTATTGTAAGATTATTTATATTGAAATTTACTGATATAGGTTGAAATGTAGAGTTTTAGCTGTGCATCCACCGTCTGATCAGAAAGTAATTGAACGAAAAAGTACCCCTAAGTAATTATTTATTAAAATTCTAATATTTTATTTCGCAATATTATAATATGTGTCATTATTTAATAGGAAATCAAATGATAGCAGTCCACCTGCAACTCATTCGTTTTATAGTTATGATGTTGAAAAACTATGTTCAACAAAAGTAGGCAATCCTAATACACAGCCAATATACCGAGTAGACGCTGTTCAAATAAAAAGATCAAAAAATTGTTTCACAAGAGACCGATGCAGGTTTTTCATTACTCATAATGTTGAGTTTAAAAATGGTCTGCTTTTATTAAAGGTAAAACATTAATTTTTCTTAAGCACATTTTATTTGAAAAACAACTATGTAGTGTTTACAGATAATTTGAGCTAACTTAGTTCAAATAGTTGTAATGAAGAAAATTATAAATCTTCTCTGAATCACTATTTCAGGAAAGCATTGTAACTCAAATTTCTGATTTGAAGTTTGATGATATATTTAGTGGAGATGTACCCAAATTTTCTGAAACTAAAAAGAACAAAGTATTAGCTAAGAATGGTTTAATTAAAAAACATGAGTTAATAAATGGAGAAACATCAAAGAAAAATGAAAAGTCACTGCAAGAAGTAGCTGAAAAAATTAAAGAAGAAAAGTTAAGAGTGAAAGAAAAGAGGAAAGAAGAAAAAGAAAAACTTGCTAAATTCATGAAAGAATGGAGTAAAAAGAAAGAAGACCTTGAACTAGAAGATTTGAAAGTACAAAACATTTTTTTTTTATCATTATTTAAGGTTGTTTAATCAATTGTTTAATTTTTAGGATTTACCAGTCGCCAAACCTGTAAACTTGAAAATTCCTAATAAACTTTTTGGAGATTTCGTTATGATATATGAGTTTTTCCAAAATTTTTGGTCTCAGCTGGACGCAGGTAGTTATTTTCCCCAAGGCTTAAGCATAGAACTGCTGGAAAGATGTATGGTCGAACAAGAAATTGCCGGTAAAATATATACAACTTGTGTTATTGACGGTTCTTTAAGTAATATTTTCTTTTTTAAATTTTAGGGCCTTTAAATACACTCGTTCAAGTATTACTTACGACAATATTCGACCTTGAGGAAGATGAAGAAGCTGATATGAAAGACAGTCATATTTCAGGTTGGGAACCTGTTTACAATCTTGGAGATGACAAAACTCGTAATGCAATAAAGTCTGCAACTAATGTAAGGAATTGGACTATGAGTCACCTCGGACAACAGTTAAACAAAATAACACTACTTCCAACAGTTATTTCTGAAGTATTGAGACTTCATTTGCTCTCTTCTGGGGGAAAACATTCTGACAGAATGGCCAAGTGGATGTAATGACTGAAATATATAGTTTATTATAAACATTGGTAAACATTTTCATATCATTTTAAAAATTTTATTTAGATATCAAGAAAGAGGAAACTACTGTCCAACCGATGATCCCGGACTTACAATTAGATTACAGCGTCCGGATTTATTAGAATCGCTTAGCCACCATCATATTTCTTGTCTATCGATAGGTTTGTTTTTGTATAGTTTACAGAGTTGGCGAAAATAACCCAGCAAATGTTTGGTATTTATCCAAAAATATGGGTTTTACTGAGTTTGCATGTACCCAAAAAAATGTATTGGCTTAAAAAAAAAAAAACCTGGGTTACTGCCAATTTTGATATTTTTACTTTTAGTTAATTTATAATATTTTTGTCTTTTTAGCGGACAAAATGACAATCGTAAATTGTCTTATGAGTCAAATATTGACATTTTCGTCTTACCGAATACAACTACAAAACACTGTAATTAAGACGAAAAATGCTAGGTTGGAAGTAAGAAGTGCCCTGGCAGCCGAAAAGAAAAAGTCTCTTGAAATTATTCAAAAGTTTGTTGTGTTTTTTTATATACATTTTAAGTATTTAGTAATAAATCATTTTGTTAACCCAGGAAAAAAGAAATGAAACTACTCAATGGTGACTCTCATAATGTAGAATCTGACCAAAAAGCTATTGAAGCTAAACAACTCGAATGGAACAAAAAGCTTAGCGAACTCAGCGAGTTAGGTATGACTGCTCAAATATTGCCCCTTGGCACCGATCGAGCATTCAGAAGATATTGGATATTTGCTTCAATGCCTGGACTATTTGTTGAAGACAATGAGCTAAACCCAGGATCTTGCTTACCTGAGTAAGAAATCGGTTTTGTTAGTGCAATACATTTGATTTATGTTCTATTAATTTTTATTTGAAAATTTTAGTGGTACTCCAGCGAGCAACATAACGGATAGGGACACAGTGACTTACGTAAAACGATTATTTGAAATGAACGAAAAAGAAAATGTTGACGAAACAAGAGCCAGCTTGTCCAATACCCCTTTGAGAAAAAAACTGGTTGACAGTATGAACAATTCTTCATTTATGAGTAACGGTAGTTTTAGAGAAGATCAGAAAAAGTCGACGCTCAGTTGTTGGGGTCCTGATAACAATTGTCCGGTGCACAATGAAAACAATGAAAGACTTACGTGGGGCTACTACAACAGTCCCGAAGAATTGGAATCTCTTCTTGAAAATTTAAATTCCAGGGGTTTGAGAGAAAGTGAACTAAAAAAAACTATATCATTTGAAAAGCATCGTATAATATCTAGCATGGAAAAATGCACCAATTGTCTTTTAGACCCATCTTTGGTAAGTTTTTGTACTGTTGTAACGAAATTGAAAGCCAATCTGTTGTTAATAATGTGAGCAGCAGTTTTGCGCTCGACAGCGGTAAAAGCAAGAAACAGGTGTAACTGCCATTGTGATTTTTAAAAATAGGTTGGCAAACCTTTTTCGTATACAGCAAACTGTTATAATTTGTATCAAAGTTTTAACAAAAAGCTATATTATATGAAAACTAATAATATTTGTTTCAGATGGTTGAGGATGATAAAAAAGTCCAAAAGCGTTTAAAAACAGAATTTTCTGAATTCAAAAAAGTAAATGTCAAATTTCTCCGTATTGATCCCGATGTTGATACATCATTGGAATTAACTTTGAGAGAATATATTTTAGATTTAGAAAGAAGATTAAACACAACAGCGCTTGGCAACTTATCAAATATGGTAAGTTCACATATTTTATAATTTTTTTTTTATAAAATGTCAAAATAAGAACAAACGCACTTTGAATAATTAACATTCTTTTCGTTATAGAAAATAGTTGAAAACATTTGCACATTGACTTTTTTTTTAGTGTACTTATTAAGACTAATTTTGACCTGTCGATACCTAATAAATTACTGTACACTGCTAACCTTTACGAGATAGTAAAATTTTGGTTTCTCTTGACAATCTGACACATTTAGAAATTAAGTGTATTTTAAAATTCATAATTAATGATGATTTTTTTATTTTACATCTTATTTTGACAAAAAAAAAACCTATTTATCTTAAGTTTAAATATTACATCTAATAATTACATTGTTTTAAAATATGAACAACTACATTTTGTAATTAGATACCCAATCGTGATGAATGGAGAGAAAATATATTGAATGGTGTTTACGAAGTACAGGGTCAGTTATCTTGGGGCGTTAGAAGTAAAGTGGTAAGTGCCAATTATTATTAAGTTGACTGTTATAATTGTAATACTGTATAGTTTTGATCAGGGATCCAAGCAAAATTCAAATTTTACTCAAACAAAAATGAGTAAATTATAATTATATAATAATAGTATGTTTTTCTGAATCAAACCATCATTTTACAAACTAGAAAAATTAATTAGTTCTTAGTAAAATTTGTCTAGTTTTATTTATGTTGTTCCAATATATTTTACGGTTTTTTGACCATATCACATTTTTTTAATTGCATATTTTATATAAATTTTAATATTTTAATTCCAGAATACTGATAACACTGAAAAAGCCAATACACCAGAACCTTTTAGTAAGTAAAAAGTTAACATTTGCAATTGGAATCGATTAAAGTCAAATATTCAACAACATTCTTGATTTAGGTTATCAAGATCCAATTAATTATGTGGTCGACAGTGTTAAACCAGAACAGAATATCACCGATTTGGCATCTGTTATTTTACAGATCGAACAATCAGTTGAACCGAAATTCCTCAGAAGACCATTAGGTAAAATTGCATTTTCTGGGATTTATATAATATTGTTACGGTTAAATTTATAGTTAAATCTTGTCATAAATCATAGTATACTTTTTTTAAATTTAGGTTATGATAAAAAAGAGAAAATGAGCATCTCGGCAGTTAATCCTATGATAGATAAATGGGAAATGTCGCTGATGAGTTCTGTAAATTATTCTCAATTATATTTACATTTAATCACACTAGGTAAGAAAAATATATATTTTTTTTTTTAAATATTCATTATTATACAATTTAATTGAATATTCTGTTTGTATTAATATTTGTTTTTGTATTTATAGAAAAAAGTATTGAATGGTCAAAGTCCATTATGAAAGTTAATTGTGTTTTGTGTAGAAGCAACAAAGATGAAGACGTCATGTTATTGTGTGATAATTGTAATAGAGGTCACCATATGTATTGTTTGAGACCAAAACTAAAAGTATGTTGATATAAAGTTGAAAAATTCAATTCAATTAATTTTTATTACTAATATTTGTTATTCAGAAAGTACCTTCAGGTGATTGGTATTGCCAAAAATGCAAACCTCTTGCTAAAAATCAACAAGAAGAGGACGAACCCGAAGATAAAGTGTAATTATTATTGTTTTACAAAAATATTTCTATAAAATTATTAAAAGTAATTGTGGATATATTTTTTATAGGAAAATCGATATTTGTCATATATGCAAAGAAGAAGGTTCGGTAATAACTTGTGACGATTGTTCAAAAAATTATCATTTATCTTGTTTAAATCCACCTAAACGTGCACCGCCCAAGCGGAACTGGACGTGTTTCAACTGTAGACAAACATCGTGTAAAGGTAAACCTTTCTAATGACAATTTTAGTAAACATTGTTCAGTAAGACAAAATAGGGTTCTAACAGTTTGACTTCTTGTTTACGGGTTAGGTTTCAGAAAATAAAAGTTAGACTTATTGTGATGGAAGATATTGAACTAACTTGTTTTGTGAAATCATTTTTTAGACATCTGTATAAGATTTTTAATATTTCTTATTGTCCATGTATGGCTTCAGTTGTTCATAAAACTAATGAATAGTATATTAGCGTTTTTTTAAGGTAAATTAGTATACTTCTCATTGATACAAAGTTATATAAAGTAGGCATGTGAACTATAAGGCAAACTAGGCAAATTATTACTTATAAATTCGCATAATTATTTTATTAAAATGTATATTTAAATAAAAGCTCAAATAATAAATACAATTTTGTATTTATTTTGAGAAATTTAAATAAAAAATAAAAAAATGATTTACATAAATTATTAGTTTCAAAGAAATAAATAATAAATAATATTTCTGTTGGACTAAAATATAAGGGTATTTTATTCCTTTTTTTTGTTTTTTTTTTGTACAAAACCCCCAAATTAACTCTGATACAACAAATTCTTAAATTTAACCCTTTCACTGCTACACCTGCTTATATGCAGCCAACTAAATGTAAAATATAAAGGAAAACACTGAATAAAAAAAAATTATTTTATTACAAATCCTATTTCCTACAAAAATATAAAAATGGAGAAATAAAAAAAAAATCGTGTGTACAGCTTATATACTTAAACTACTTTTACTAATAAAATATGCCATAGCAGTGAAAGAGTTCAACATATTTTTTTCCAATATTGGTTTATTCTTTAAATTTATATTTCATTGACACTATTAATCTAAATTTAAGGACTTGTGGAGTTAAAAGTTACCCCAAAAACCTAGTTCATTCAATTTGAATCTGTTGAATGTTATTTACAGATGATTTGGAACAGATTGAGGTTGAAAGGTATAGCAGGCGAAAGAGCTCGCAGGCTGCCACTGCCAAAATATCTGAATTTGCTCGACAGCTGTTGCATGCATCAGCCAGATGTTATGGTCTGTCTCTGATGTTCACCAATAATAATAATAATTTTTTTTTTGGTTTTGACTTCAAGATAGTATTATACTAATTTTTAAACACAGATCTCAGTATTTGAAATTAATGAATACCCAATTATTTATTTTTCCATAGCAATATTTGTCTTTTAAATTAATTTTTATACTGGAGGAATAGTTGCTTTTTTAATTAAGAGTTGTTGAATTTTTAAACTTACTTGAAAGTACATTATTTCCATGGAATAATAGTTGATTGTATCAATGTTAAAATAATTTATTAATGATTAATCACATTTTTATAATTCCTCTTTAATTTGATGTAGACAAAAGTTGATTTTTATTACTACTGGAGAACAATGATACTTATTAACACTCAATCTAGAACGATTTGCTACATGAATTATACTATGCTGAATTAATTTTTTTGGAATTAATCCAAACAAAAGTATTTAAAAATAATTTGGTTTTTGTTATTCATTGGAAATCCAGAATCTGTGATTAAAAGTTGTTAACCTCCAAGCAGTCTCGTCTTAAAATTTCTTGTTGGTTAACCTGCTGCAGTGTTACACCGTCATTTCATTTCTGTATTTAAGAATTACCAAAAGTCACGTTATTTGTTAACAATACCTACGCGAGCGCGCTTGGAGGTTAAGTATTTGTTAATAAAAACAATAATATACCTAGCACAATAATGCATGGGTGGGTAACTGCGATTTTTATAAAAACATTTTTACAATTTTAAAATTTTTTCTCTAAATTGGATGATTTTTTAAATTATGGGTAGCACACCATTAATAAGCTATTAGATAAATACATTTTTTTAATAGGAATACAGTTTTTGAAATACATTTTGGATGTATAGTATATGAGAAAGAAAATGCTATTAATTATTATTTTTTTTTTATCAATTTTACTGGACAACATTGTCATAAATTATTAAGTTAGTTACAGTTCAAGACATTTTGTTGGAGTGTTATTATTTTGCATGGAAACAATAATAGTAGTTGTAATTTTAGTAAAAACTTGTTAATTTAATTTTGTTTTATTATTATTAATGCAATAGACGAAGATGGTGTGACCGAAGAAAAAAGTCGAAGACGAGCAAGGCATTCAGAAAATACAGTGCTGACGACATCTGGAGACTTGCCCCTAGACAACGCATTGTTACAGTTGCTTCTGAATCAAGTCATGCACCATCCAGAAGCTTGGCCGTTCTTACGACCCGTCACTAAGTCACAGTGTCCTGATTATCACAATATTATTAAAAATCCTATGGATTTAGGTACGGTCAAGTATAAACTTAACATGTTGTCGTACCGGACCAACGAAGATCTACTGAGCGACATGGAATTGATATTTGAAAACTGCTTCTATTACAATTCAGAAACTTCAGAAGTTTACAAGTATGTCGTTTTTAAGTTCTTGCAGTACTCTTTATGCAGTGGTGTAGTTTAGTGGGTGTATAAAAGTTGTGTACTTAATCTACAGGTTTACAATTTTTGTTACGAGTACGGTAAGTGTATATAAAAAAAGTTGGTACACACGGCGTTTATACCCTTACAACTATGCCACTGTTTATTTGTATTTTTGTTAAAATTAACATTTTTAATAGGTGTGGGGAGGAAGTATATAACTATTATAAAAAATTATGTCAAGAATGTAACCTGAAAGATTTTAGTGAAGATGGTGAATTCGATGGACCTCCGACTAAAAAATCAAAACATAGTTTGTAGTTGATATGTAATCTACGAGTTAAAATCGAAATTATTTTCTCCTTGCATACAATTATCTTAACTACTAAACAATGATGTAACTTTATTTGCGTTGGATCCGTCACTGAACTTGTTTTGTATTCCTTCAATGTAGCTTCTAACGTCCGAACTGTTGATTCATCTACCAGTGAGATATTTAGTAGTAAAATAAATATAAGAGACATACTTACATGTTAGCTTTAAGATAATAGCTCATAGTGATCTAGGAGTAAGTTAATTTTTAATTTTATTATGTAATTTAATTAGAATTATTTTTTTTACTCTGCAATGATGATGGTTTCCTCAATGAAGTGGAAAATTGTGATTATTTCTATTGTTTTTAATAGGTTTCTAAATGTACATAATAAATGCCTTACATTCAATTTAAATTATGAACATTTACATTAATGTGTTAGTTTATAACTAATCATTGTTGTATTACCTTATTACTATTGTGATTTTTTTTTTTTCGTTTACCTTTACAAATTCAACAAATAAATGTAACATAGACATTAGACGTTTAACAAGCCTAAAATTATAGTAGTATTTTGATAAAACAATTAATTTTATAATATACTTTTCGTATGTTGGTTTTCAAAAATGTTATACTGTATGTTCAAGATAAGTTGAATCAAACATCAAAGACAAGCATGTTTTTTTTTTTTTTACAAAATAATTTCTTTTTTTAATTAAACTTTTTTATGTAATTAATTTTTTTTAGTTTAATACTAGAAGTCCTTAATGTAGTATAACACAATTATTTATAGTTCTGAGGATTAGTTGCTCTTATTTTCATAAATTTTCATGTAAAAAAATTCATAATATTGTATTCGTTTAAGTGAAAGGTGATAGTCCATCTTTATTATTTTTCTATATTTACAAGTATTTAATGTAATTCAATTCCTATTTTTCGTATTTTTTACTTAAATATGGTATTTTTATTTTTTTATTTTAGAAAAAACAGAATAAATTTAAATTAAACTTACATTTAAGTAAAAAAAAAAAAAAAAACATTATGTTTAACAAATTCTTTTCAGGTTTCCTGTTCTACCATGAGTAATTATATATTTAAATGTATGAGGCTAAACAACTACAAAATTGCTTCTGTGTTCTCAATGATTTCATTTGGTTAAATAAAGTAACTGATAAATTTTCGGTTTGTCAAATTGTGTTAGATAAAACATCAACGATTTGTTGCAAGCAAGGTAATCTATTAAATTAAATTTTGTTTAGGAATTTGTGAGTAAAAAGAAATTCAACATTTTATTGAATAGTGGTAGTATTATTGGGTATGTTTGTTTTTACTTGATGTAAAGTAAACGCCATTCCTTTATTTTTAGTATACAAAGTGTAGTGAATTTTCGCGCAAAATAGGCGTAAGAGTGGTAGTATCTTTCAGTACCATAGTGAACCAAATCCTTAGTTCATCCTAATGCCGCAAAATGGCTACATGTACACTGCATTTCACCACCGATTAGATTATTCAAAACCAAAATTAGGAGTCAATTGTAGAAAATTGGCTGTGATAGATTTGGTTCACTTGTACTCTGAAGTCATCCCTCTATTTGCAGTAACGGCAAGAACTAAACTAACCGATTAATTAGATTTAATTTAATATTTTTGGTTGATCCGTATAATTTCTACTTCTACGTTGGTTCTGCTTATAGGTGAAATAAGAACATTCAAAATTCTGTTGAAAATACACTGGCTAGTAGTAAATGAACTCTGTAAATCCCAATAAATTTACATTCTCGTTTGAAAACAGCCCGGGAACTTTTTAACCATAGTGGTAACACTCTAATCAGCTGTGTGGTTACTGTGGTATCTTATCAACGACAATACGCATTAGATGCCGTATTTTAAGTCGATACTCAATAGTCGCCCTTCATCCATTATACGTACTTTCCTAGGTCACATTTCGTTAAACGTACTTTTCATTTTCCAAAGTTTCTTCGTCCAAGAAGTTAACCAGAAAATTAACGGTAAGTGTTGTGATTTAATCGATCATTACTGTTAACCAGAAAGTTATTTCGTTTAAAATAACCAGCAGCCTGTACTTAGGTTAATGTTTAATAGAAAATTTGTTGTTATCATGTTCTATTTTGTTTCAATAATTAACCAATAATATGATATTAAAAACGTTTACCCTTCCGCCCGACATTTTGTATGTACTTAATTCGTTTCAATTACTTTAAAAACCACCATTTCACAATATTATATTGGGCAAGATGAGTGGCGGATATGGGATAACCCCTGTTTCACAAGGTTTGAGAACCTAACTTGACGCCTTATACTGTTGCCCCTCAAAAATTCACAATTTTTCACCAGTTAATGCAACTTTTAACCATAGCTTATTGAGATAACTTTTTTTAAATTACTTATGGACGTTCTAGCAAGTTTAGTTTATAAGTTTAGTGTTGTATACAATAGTCAATACTGTATTCTAACATACTATAGCTAAACTTGTTGGCCAAACTGTTGAAAATGACCATTAATAAATAATGTAAAACGCATTATTATTTTAATCAACAAAGATCCAAGTATTTGATATTAGCAACACTCGTGGTATTGTTGTTTCAACTTAAATTAACCTGTCTGGGTTTTTTTATTTACCAACTGAAAAATTAGGTTTTTTATATTTGTTTTTAAATTTTAAAACACTCATTTATATTTTCCCATTTGAATCTAGCGGCGTAAAAGACATTCAATGGCTAATAAATAATAATTTACACTAAACATGTTTTTTTGTAGATGGGTGGCGAAGGTGAGAAATTGAGCCGCAAGATGATTTTCCCTTATACGCACACGGCTAAATTTGCTCAATTCCCACTCAAACTTCATTTCAAACATCACTGGATGTTCCCATGGTTAGTCGGAGCATCAGTCTTGTGTTTACCACTTTTCTACAAGATTCAGCAAGCTGGTAATTTTTTCATAATATTTTTTTTTTTACCAAAATACTAAAAGTAGTTTTGTTTTAGCCAATTGTGAAGCCAATGTTAAAATTTGGGCAGAAAAAAGGCGCAAGGAGGAAGAACATTATAAACACAGATGGGACTAGGTCAGAGTATAAGGTGTAGTGAAAAATTACAAAAAAAAAAAAACCATATTCAATGATTTAAAATGTATTTCTAATAGTGTTACTGCGAGTTTTATAATCATATTCTAATGTACGTACAATAAAAATAACCAATAAAAATAATTTTGCTTTATTTACTTTTTTTCTTCTTCTAGCTTGGTCCACTTTTCACTTACTTTCCATAACCAGTCGACTGTTTTCTTATCTTTTACTTGAATAGGCATTGAAACTTCTTCAAAATTACTGGAAAATATGTTTTTAATTAATAAGAATGGTGACTAGTCAGTCTTCTTCTTCTTGATACAAATTATTTATTAAAACGTTTTTAATTTAAATTGTGACATTACTATAGTTGTGTGTGTATATTGTATACCTAAGCATTTTGTTATTACCTGAGAAACTGTCCAGTCACATTTTCTAATTCGGGATCTATTGAGGCGTGTACTATGGTTTGTGATCCTTTTGAAGGAGATTTCATAAATAGCCACGCCAAAGGCTTAATAATAAATCTAGTGACGCTATTGTAATAAGGTAAATGCCTTGAAAGATCAGTTGTACATATGCCGGGATAAACTGCATTTACTGTTACACCAGTGTCTGTGAAATAATTGTATAACATAATTACAAAATTATACAACCAAAACAACTTAACTAGAAGGAGATCCCGCGACAAGAGTGGGTCTAAGAGTAAGGTGTACACATAATTTTGCAGGAAAAAATACAGATGTAAAATGTGGAAAAAAATTAGATAAACAAGTTGCACTAATTTCTATATTATGAGTTTAAAACAGGTAATACACTAGGATTGTTTCTATCAGAATTAAAAAATTGTAAATGCCGCCAAGTGCTACAAACCTTTTAAAACATCTGCTAACTTGGCCGTAAACATGAGATTGGCCAACTTGCTTTGATTGTAAGCCGTTTCTTCATCGTATGATGTATCTGAATTTAAATCGGTTTTGTTAATTTGACTAGATTTATGTTGACGTGTTGTAATGTTGATCACACGACTTGGAGCACTTTTCTTCAAATAGTCCAATAATAGATTAGTTAACAAGAAATGTCCTATATGATTGACACCCAAATGGGTTTCAATACCATCTTTAGTTGTCGACTTTTTGCATCTCATCACACCAGCATTATTGACCAGCACATCAAGTTTATTGAATTCTAAGTAACCATCAAAATGGTAAAAATAAAAAAAATTAGGTAATTCTACTTCAATTATCTAACCTTTTTTGAATGTGTTAGCAAACTCTTTAATGGACTCTTGAGACGATAGATCACATTTCCTACAGTATAATCGTTTGTTTCTGGACTGTAGCGCAAGTTCTGTGCGACTCTGTTCTAAGACCGGTAATATGTTTTAAAATATAATTGTAGAAAGTAATTATACCTACTGGAAAACTGTTTAATCTTAAATTGTTAAACCTTTTTAATAATATTATAAATAGTGGTATAACATTAACCTTTTCACATTTATCCAAATCTCGACAAGCCATAATTACTGTTGCATTTTTAATCGCAAGCAATCTAGCCGCCTCTTTGCCAATGCCTGTATTGGCTCCCGTTATGATAATAATTTTATTGGCTGCAGATGTTCTTATCTTGTAAGACTTGCCGGTTATAGATTCTCTGAAAAAAAATAAATACGAAGCCCCCAATTACAAGATTATACTCGACTAATAATTTTATGAAAATTCCATACTTAAAAAGATATGCTCCGCCAATAACTGTGCTAAAAGCGCTGACATACAATAACGGCTTCGGTATGTTGATCATCGCATGGAATTAAAATCAATAATAATGAGATTTTTTTTAAATTAAATTAAATTAAACTATACTTATAAATTGTAGTAATTAATAATTTAAAAAAGAAGTAGAATAAAATATAAATCGACAAATTTCGGCTTTTCAGAAAGTTCAACTAGTTACTAGTTAGTTGTTATCATATTCTTATCATGACCAACACCATGCTTGTTGTTAACTTGTTCAAGAGTGCTCCGGTTACTGGTATGATTTATTACTACCGTGTGGTTTGGTTTGCAGTGGTAACAATAATTAGAACAATTATTGAGATAGGTATTTACCAATTCAATAAATCTTTCATCTTCAATGCCAAAAGCATTTTTCTCGACATAATATTTTTGAAGTACAAGTTACTACTACAATAAAGACGAAAATTAAGAGAAAAATATAAAAAATAAATCGTGTTCCTATCATGGTTGAAATGTGACTATAATTTATAACCATTCATATTATTTTTTATTACAAGCTTGGATCATTGTATACATGATCTAAGGTGGTTTCAAGTGTAGTGGAGTGTTTTAACTTTGATACTTTATCAAAATGGCTGTGGAATTATTTTAAAAAGTACTTTTTTGTAACTAATAATAGACAATAGACCTAATTACATCATTAGGTATGTAGGTACTAGGTACACAGAAACGGGCAACAGCAAATAATGCTGATGTTTTTACGACATTTCTAGCTAGTATGTGTTAAAGCTAAAACTATATAGTATATTATTATTACAAGTATAAAATACCTATAATAATAATAATATACTTAATAATACAGTAAAGGAAATAGTTTTTATTGGTAGTTAACAATCGCACTTGTATAGGAGAAATTAAAATTGCTTTTAATCAGATCTATTTTCTTATTTAAAATATTGTGCTTTTTCGAGTAGACAGGTACCTCACCAATAATTTGAAAACTATTAATCATGATTAAGTATTGTTGAAAAATGATGACTGCTTATTGGAAAACATAATTTGTTGTTGTGTAAAAAATCATTAAACGATTTACGCGAAGTAAAAAGAAAATCTTAATTTATGTTCCATTTGTTTGTCTTCTAATTTATTTACGAAAAAACATAGTTAAGAGTAAACTTATTATCCAAACGCTATATTGATTGGTTTACGCTATATTATCGCATTCTTATAATATTTTTGAAATTGAGTAAAATTTTTTTTTTAAATTCGTTTCATGGTGCTATTTTAATAATTTTTTCTGTTAATATTTATTATTTAATTATACTGGTTAATTTGTCATTGTCATATTATGCATAGCCCTACCGCTGTGTGTCTCATAAAGTAGCTTATTTGGCTCATAGTAATGGAACTATGTACAACATTATAATATTACAAATTACCATAAATTAAGCATAGCCAATATTAATGTGATGGTCACGACTCACGATGTACAGTAGATCTCCTCTACATAAAAATTAACATAGTAATTTACAATGCAAACAAATTAACAGATTCTTATAATCATACCAAACACATTTACATTAAAAAAGATAGTTTTTTGTTACAATGTGTGCTTTTAATTTAAATAAACGTAAAACATAGTAATAGGATACAATATTAATCTAAGTGTTAACTTCAATAAAGTATGTGTACCTAAATTGCCTACGCCGAACGCCGTCTTGTAGGACACCTATACCGAGGTTAAGGCATTTCACTTATTGTCTATTGATGTAGCCAAAAGACAACAATAATAATTGTTTTGCCAATATTAAACTTTATATGAAATAAAATAAAGAACAACGATTAATTTTGAAATTCAAAATAATTTTAATTTCGAACAATGTCATAACAACATTATTATTAAAAAGATATAGTATAATCTAATAATAATTAGTGAAATATTTAGCTATATGACTAATACGACTTAATAGTAAGCATTTATATTGGTACTTAAATATTGTCTTCCATTTAGTCCAATTACCTAGTGGTCAATGCGATAGTGAATAATTTATATAATTTTACGGATCAAAAATAGGTACTCTAAATCAATGTAATTCGAATAATGTCTGAAATGATAAAATTCTGAATTTTGCTTTATAAACCGTTCACAACACGAGAGACGCTTTAAAAAACAAACTGACGTAGGTACTAGATCAGCTCTGAGGCCAGATTTTGATTCAGAAAAAATATTGGTATAAAATGGTAAAAGTGAAATCGTGATGGGATCTATCACAAAATATACATAATATATATTATATTAAAGGATTTTAGCAGTAGAGCGGTTTTTTATAACATAAGAGCGCGCACATGGCAAAACTAATATTATGGTACTTAAAGGATTTTTGGCAACACTGATTGTGCACTTCGGCGGGTCCTGGCGGCGGCTGCGACCACCACAGTAGCTTTAGCAGCCTCGAGTCAAGTTGTCGACACCGCTCATGATTGTCCTTATTTTAGTTAGTCCATGCACATTTATCTACACTTTTCCTGGCTAATTTCTCCACGATAATAATTATCCTCCAGTAAATCACTTATATTTTCCGGTGGATTTTTCGTTCCCTTTGAGTTTTACCGGTCGCGTGTTCTCTCGTGAAATTTTTAATCCTACTTAAAAAAATAATCTAATTATTATAATAAAAACAATATTAAAAACTGGTGAGTGGTTTGTGAACGTATAAAATTCTGTATAATTACGTGTGCCGAGATAAAATAACGATTATTTTATTTCATTAATTTTCTAATAAATTCAGTTTGTTTTGTAAGTAATTTTTAGTTATTACACTTGATATTTTTTTGTTTGATAAAATAATACTAATACTTGCAAAATAGTTGTGTTAGTTTAAATGAACGTAGGTAGGTACATTGTCTAGTAGATACATGTTTTTTTCCTAGAAGACTGTGTTTTTTTTCATAGTTTGCTGTATATTATAGTTTTTTTTAGTGAATTTAAATATTGAAAATTTAGAAAATATACACATTTTTACCGCTTTTTTATGTTATTTGCTTAAGTGTATGTTGTATTATGGCTAATAAAAACGTTATTAGTAAACAATATATATTTTTTCAATTAAGTACATAATCTCTAAATATGATAATAATAAAATAATGTTATCAGGTTTTGTTTGAGAATAAATTTCATTAAATTGTATTTTATGTAGTTTACAAAAGTTGTTATTGTGTGTATTAATTAATAATATTAACTAATATTTAGATATTAATTTGATATCTAAATTTGTATGGTAAAAAACATACTTGAACTAAAATGTGTTACTCTTGCTTGTTGTTTTGTAAAAAACAGTGTTTAGATTTTTATTGTTACACTAATGTTTATGTAGCGAGTACCCATAAATTAAAATAATTAATTTTTTTATCATAGTATTAACAAGACTGTACACAAATGTTATTATAAACTTAAGTTGCTAATTTTCTAAAAAAATAATAAACTACTACGATTTTTCTATACTTCTTTATTAGTTTATACTTTATTTCAACATTTTATTTGATCTATTATTTTTTCAATTGAAGTTTGAGGCAAACAGCCAAAAGGAAAAAATGTAATATTATGTAACACATAATACACTTATAACTAAATTATTTGTATATCCATACTTCAATGCTAACAAGAGTAATCACGGGAAAGCACTAACATTTTTTTTAAAATTAAAAATGATGCATAACAACTATTTGGATATACTATTAAAGCGTAATGTCATAAATTAACACATTGACTTTTATGAGACTTCATAACAGCTGTACCTTATTCTAATTCAAATTTAATTACCTTTTACAGAAATTTTAACATCCTGATTTTTTTTTTTTGTTATTTTTAAAAGTAATCATAAGTTTAGTTTTAGGTACCTGTTCTCGTTTTCACGTTTAAAGCCAATAACACATTATACTTTTAAGACTTCAAAGTATAAACCAAATTTTTTTAAATCCAAGTTCAAGAAATGGCTAGTGGTTTTTATATATTTTAGACCAAAAAGTCTTGAAATTGTCAGCTACTTAGGACAGTTAAAATCAATTTTGATTATATCATCCTTTTTTCATTCAATTAACTAATTCGTTTTATATTAGCGTAAGAGTGCACATTTTCCCATTCTTAACTCTTAATAACATTTTTTCTATTTTGTGATATTTTTAGTATTTTAGGAACATCACTATGAAATTAAATGGTTTGATTTCGAATAAGTAAAAAGATCTGAGTTTTATGGCTTCTTTACTAGGTATTGTTGAATGCATTTTCCTTTGCTCAATCTTGGTAAAGTATTTAAAATTAAAAAAAATGTAATTAATTTTTTTTACAAAACTATAAATTAACTATACTTTTACAAATCGGATCATCTCGGTTGTCGAAGTATGGTGGGGTTTTGAATTTAAAAATATACACAACAGCTGTAACCAATATTATAAATTGTGTACTGGGAAATATGTATTATTAAGCTAAATAATAATAAGTAAATAATTAATTAACCTGAAAAAGTTGATGTGATCAGAATTTATTTTGTTTTAGTTTTTTGTTATATCGTCAATATTTTCTCCCTTACTAAATATCTGTTTTCAATGTCTTTAACTGCGGCGTACAAATAACAGTCATAACACAATAATCAATTTAAACCATTACCTTTTCGGGTTCGTCCAGGCGAATATTTTTGATATGGTTCCAACCACACCTTGTCGGAAAACGGGGAAACAAGTATCATTCGATAACCACAGACGAAGACCCGCCGCGGATAGAAATGAAATATATTATTATAATTATCGCTCGAATAAATATCCGAGCCATTTGTCATTATTCGGGATACGTTGAAAAACGTCAATTCAAACACTAACCGTCGTTTGGATGTAAGCTCATATGATATATTTCATCTCGGTATAAGTTTCGGTTGGGTTGTATTATATATTATTATATAGTGTACACCAAATAAATGTTATTCGTTTTCTGGTCGACACGTAGTCGAAACTGTATTGAAAACACTCGGGCGAAAAAAAAAATGGGAAAAATCGTTTATACATGTATCCTTAACGTGCTACTGATTCATTGCTGTTGCCTGTTAGGTATTATATATATATATATATATATATATATATTATATATATATATATATATGTAGACAGGGCGGAAGTAAAAAAAAAAATAGTGTAAACATTGCCCTGGGATCGTGAAACCGTTTGCGTTTTCTGGCGCTGTTCCCGGTTAAGTATAACAAAACAAAAAAAAAACTCTCGTGTCTATCCGGAGCAAGTGGGAAAGTGGTCCTTTAAAAGACTAATTGACATCTTATTTTTTTTTTCACTCTCTCCCTTTAATATTTATTACACGCATATTGACCGTATGGGCTACGGCGCCCGACCCGAAATTGTGACAGTCGGCAACTTTTTTTTTTTAAGTACATACCACCGTTTTTTAGCCGTGGTGTACGCTGGATAATGATGTGTTGTTTTGTTTCTTTTTTTGCAAGTGTAAGTTTACAATATCATCCCGGTGCGCGCAGTTCCTCGCAAAGTATTGCCGTCGACTAAATTAGTTTCGACCACGGTTCGCTCTCTCCTTGGGGGGTTCTTTTATTTTTTATCTCCTTTTCTTGAGCCTCGTGTCAGGGATTTGAGTGACGAATCTGCCGGGGCAAACCGCAGCCAATAATAGTTTACTGCCCGTGGGCGAAGGACGACACGGGGATTTTTTTTTTATTCAATATCGATGATTGAGGTGTGTAAAAAAAAAAGGGTCGTTTGTAATCTGTGTAATTTTCTCTAGAATTTGATCAATTAACATGAGATGGAACTCATGCGCCGGGTCCGCACCATTGAATTTACTATAGTCATAATAGAGTAGAGACGAGCCATCCATTGACAACACTCTTACCTTAACTCAAGTATTAATTTTGAGGATTTCTACTCAATTGCCTATTTATACTGCGTTGAGTAATCACCCGGGAGTCAACGAGAGGATTATTGGAACATTAAGCGGTTTGTTTTGTCTTGTAAATTATTGTCGAATCGATAAAATAATCTTAACGAAAAACTAATACAAATACATAATACACTATTTTAACAATTATCTAGATTCTTGTATTTTATGTGTATACATGCATCGAGATTCATTACAAAAGCTCTGATCCACCGATATTCACAGATTGATTAGAAATACTTAGAAAACAAAAATAAAATTTGTTTTCGCGCTTGAATGGCAACAGTAATATTATGCCGTCGTCTTTGTTATGCACATAGTTAACCCTCTTATAGCGACGCGTTTTGTTATTTATTTTTGTAACGGTTTTCCGACTCGAGAAGGGTAAAGCGATTCCGTTTTCACATCCTTTAGCACACGAGGTAGCCTCGTTTGTGTACTTTCCTGTTTAGATAGTCGTACGTGCGTTCAACGGGGACAACACGTATACAAATATATATATTTTTACACACACACACACAATATATTGTAATATTGTGTGCATATTATATACTAATCGGAAACTGAACGGTACTGAATCTTATGTTATTCTCTGTTTACAAACACACGAGTCGTATACTATAGAATTTCGTTTTATCTTAATTTCGGTTTTCGTCTTTTAGCGTGTATACTTGATTTTGTGCAATTAGATGATATCCCGTTAAATCCCCGCCTGGGGGTTATCCAAAAACAATAACTGACAACTAGGATAAACGGTTTCCGGTCGAGTTCAGCAATTATTGCGGTAGCGTTTGTGCTGACTCGAACAATTGCACGATGCTTGTTTAACGGGTTCTTGACTTTTTAATAGTCGAACATAAATAACATTCATGCTCAGTCCGTTAATTTTCAATTAAAATGGAACTGAATTCGCAATCTTTTTGCATGATCATCGATAGGTACGCAAACGAATAATTAACACACAGTTGGCGTACTTGGTGGGTTGAGAAATTGCCCACAAAAAAAAAAATGTTTAAAAAAATGACTCAGTAATTGCCTTTTTATGTTGGTAAATGAAATATTGTATTTATTAATTTGTCAAGTTAAAATTTGCAGGGTCCCTTGTGAAATGTGTTAAACCCGTATGAATGATGTTCTATATGCTTAGGATTATTTAAATCAATAAAAAATAATAACATTGAAATGTTAACATTTAATAACTGTCATTTTAAATTAATTAAATATATAATTAAAATTAAAATGTAGGTATCACAAAAATGGTTTCAATCTTAGAATATGCTGACTGTGTTAATATTTACCATAAAGCAATTTATCTAATATTATATGAAATTTAATATTCTAAATAACTAATATTATAGTTCTAATTATAATAAAAATATTTTTCCACATACTGTATCACCAGTATTATCGGCCAGTTTAGGGAAGTGGACGCTTGTTAGTAAATGTCACCTATCAGTTAAACTGATAACTTGCACTAACGCAATAAATACACTTGTAAAATAATGAAATTTCAGCACTGAGAACGTCGAACGACTTCTTTTGAGATGGCTTAACAATATACATAAACAAAAGCAATGTATATTGAATACATTTATTGTTAGTAATGATGTGAAAATCATTTTTTTACTAGACTATCATAATGATTGCTTAAAAACGAAAAGTTGAACGCTAGTTGTTTTCAATTTTATCGGTCAGCTATTAATTTGTCCTGTGGTTCAAACTTCAAACGGATAAATGTTTTTTTTTTAGTTTTTCAAATAATATTACATAACCTTATGTTAGGACAATATAAGGTTTATCATCGCCGACAGCAAAGTATGCGCATTCGCATTGATTACTTTATAAGCTGCAAACGCATTTTTGATAATAGAAACTTAGGTCACTGTGTCAAATAAAAAAACGATCCCTACTACTTTTTTTTTTTTTTACAGAAAGATTGTTAAAGAGTTGTTTGTGAAAATCCGTTACCTTTATTTAAATTACGATAACAGGGCAAAACAACACATCTGACGTTATACCCTTTCACGCGTGTTTGAAAAATGAACGTCACGGGTCGGCTGTAAGAAAAGTTTTCGTAAGAAAGTTAAATAGCGTAAAAGCGTTTAACGTTTTTGGGTAAAACTTTACACGCCATTTTCCAATAATATTCGCGTATTCCTTATCCCCGATCAGCAATGTGCACGGCGTTTGCGTTAAAGTGATTTATAAAAACTTGCACGATCACTAAACGGGGCGATATAACAATGTTACCGTTTACCTTACAGCTTTTTGGACTGAAAGTTGTGTTGTTCTTGGACATGTACCAACAATTCTAAGTATCAACGATGATATTTTGATAAAGAAAACGTGTATCAACAAATTGTTGCTTACATAACAATTAACGTATTTCTTATATTTACTAATATTATACCACTAATGTGTACCTATATTTGTCGGGAAAAATCAATAGCATTAACAAAATTCAAATTTGTACCTTAAAATTATTTTTAATAGTGTATCAAAAAAAAAAAAAAATCCTCGGTACTTGATGCACGTATTAGTGCATTAACACATTTTGTTAGAATCAACGCCCAATTCTTTAGTTATAAATTCTAATGGAATTTGTATGCCCTTAAGGTAACCTGAACACCACAAGTGGAAGATGTAAATGACCAAAGGTTGGTGGTGGTGGTGGTGGCGGCGGCGGCGGTGTGGCGGCGGTGATCGGTTTCTGGAATGATGAAGATTGAACAGGAACGTCTAGAGTGTATCACCGCCGAGACAAGTCGGATTGCCAGTGGCGGTTTGATCCCCCCGTGAACGGTTGGGGGGCAACCGTGCGATGGCGACGCCCCCCGACAGCCCCAATTTCGAAGAGGCGGCTTTATTAGAGCTCGAGGAACAGCTAGACAACTCGTCTGCCTTCCAACACGCAAGGCCAGTGGCCCTCGAAGACCTCTGCCGACAGACCAAGTTCACCAGGCAGGAAATCCGCATCATGTACAGAGGATTTAAGCAGGTTAGCACGAGATAATACATATTATATCTTTATATCTTATACCATTGACCAATGATAAAAAACAGTCTTCACTTCACATGAATATTGAAGAACTTGCCATAGGCGATTTCTCTCTTGTTCTGTTTTCAAAGTTGGGAAAGTTATAACACTATATATTTAAGTTGAGTTGAATGAAATATTATTAATGAGGTACGCCGTACAAGTTAAAAGTTGAATTTAGTATTCAGTTAAGGTAATTAGAAGAAAAGAAAATAGTTTTCCTACATCTTTCACGGCCAAAATTGTCTCAAGTATAATTGCTCCTTATTTACTATAAACGTTATTTATGTTAATCTAGAATCTAAGACGTTTTGTTTATTAGTTAATTCTTATGAAAATATAATTAGTAAAATTAATAAGTAAACTTAACAACACGTCCAACATTTAATTATTATTACAAGGCTAGCTCCTGTTTTTTTTATTTTAAAATCTAAACTGCGTGATTATTTCATAATATATTTATTGAGAAAATTTCAGTTTTTTCTTAATACGCTTTATCAAATAATTTGATAAAATAAGTCAGCCTAATTATTAGGCTGAGTATTGATTTTCAATAAGAAAAAATTGATTAGAGGATCAAATTTTGATAATATATTTAATATCGATACGGCAAAAAAATAAAAATATGTTTCGTAGAGATATTTCTCTTAAGATTTTGGTATTGTTAGTACTGTTTGCATCTCGTGTCTGAAAGTTAAATAAACAATTTCAAAAGATGTGTCTCCCTATTATAGAGACATGGCTGCAATCTTATATACTGGATTATGGGTATACAGTTGGTGTAATCACTGGTGTGTGTGTGTATTAACCGGGTGGAGTTGAACAAATACGGAAGAAGGCAGTCGAAAAACTCCCCAGAGAATGTGACCTTTAACGAGCACTGAACGTGTATGAAAAACTTATCGGCAAACGCACGTTAGTCTTATCCTTTTTTTTTTTTTGTCATTTTCTATCTCGTTTGTGATGGCGGGTTTCACGCGTTAGTATTAAAAAAAAAATATATATATATATCTAAAATAAATATGTCATTGTTCGCATTCGTCCAACGCCGACCCGAGCGACTCCTGGGGTGGCCGGACACGAGCGCGCCGGCCCATTAATAAACTTAATTAGCCGTTATGAAGGTAGCGCTTTGGCAGTTTTCAATGTGTGTGTGTGAGTGTGTGTGGTGTACTAATGACGTGTAATCAACAACATCGTTCATTTTCGGCTCACTCGGATAGTTGCCGTCATTTTTCACCGGCAGGTGCAAACTTACCGACGGATTTAACCTAAAGCGCGAAAGGGTGCACACCGGCCGCGCGGCAACACGATACCGGCGGTAGAGAGCTGCTGCTGTTGTTGTTTCGGACAAACAGCCGCCGCGTTTGCCATACACATCCACGGTAACCCTCTCAAGTTTCTCTCCCTACCTATGCCTATGGTGATTATTTTAAAACGATCCATTCGATATCTCACAGGGTTTAATTATTAGTAATTGAATATTGTTTTTTATACAACGCTGTATCTCAATTTTCCACAAAACTTTTATGTTATTAAATCCTCTCTCAAATCAATTATAATTGATATAAACGTTTGAAACTTAAATGGCAACGCATATATTACGTTTTATTAATTCGTATCGGGTAATTATTTTTAATGTTTTAAATTAAATATTAAAATTTAGGACGGGAGAAAGGGTCGAGTGTATTTCTCCTCTCGTCCTAACTCTTAAACTCTAAAATGATTAAAAGTAATAACTTAAAATGGTTATTGAAAATGTGTAGTATTTTATGATTTTTCATCAACTACGACGGATGTTTAGGTCTATATTTTTAAAAAAATTAACGTAATTTAATAGTATACATATAGTTTTGAGAAAATGTTTTATAACGATCATGTAATGAGATACATTTTTCAAAACTAATATCTGATAATGTAAAATATAAGTGTCATCTTTTATTGACTGTTTGTGCATTATCTTCATAAAAACCATTTACGGGGTCCAAACGAATTAGTGACTCCTAATTATTATGAGTGAGTTTTTCTTAAATTTATTTTACAATAAAAAAACTGCATAAAACCTTTTTTTTTCTGTTTCAAAGGTTTAGTTTCTTGAATACTCTAAGGAGGAGGTTGAGGGAGAGAGGCTCAGTTCAAATACGTATCTTAGTATACCCCTTCATCACAATTTTTTACGAAATTAAAAAAAAAACCTTTATTTTCCAAAAAATAGAATATTATTTACAGCATATTTTAATAATCAAATGGTTGGTAATGGCTGATAAGCCGCCAATAATAGGCACAAGAAAAATAAGAGCGCCGATGCTAATCCTGTAACACTTGAAGAAACTTTAAACCGAGATGGTTCTATTAAGTCTAAATGGACCGTTAAGTTGTATCAAAATCGTATACTTATTGAAGCGTGCCCCTATAACATTATGTCCGTAATGAAAGACCCTTATGAACAAACTGTTAGTTTAACTTCTTTTGTAATATATTTTTATATCAAGCGCAATTATGTTAAAAAATAATGTTATATATTTTAACGGTGCGATATTTAACCGTCTAATTATCGGGTTCAGAGACTTTGGATTTCATGTTGCACAAATTGTTGCACAAATCTGTTTCGGAAATTTCACTTGTCTTAGCGCCATACATACTAGTTAATACAGTCTTTCTTACTAGGCTTATGGACAAACAGTTTAATCTTGTTTTGTTAGCTTACGCTATTTTAAAGATTAGGATTTTGAAGAAACTTTTTAATTATCAGAACACAAATTTAAATGACATAAGTATAAACGATTGCACCGCGTTTCTCGCCGTGATCAATGTTTAAAAGACCCTGGGCGTTATCCCTTCTATATTATAATACAGTTATGAGTCGGTATGAATAATTTAACACTTCATGTGACGGTGTATATGATTCGTCTGTTGCTTTTGAGATTGAATACCCGATTATAATGAATATAATATTATTGTTCAAGGCAATGGTTTTAAACCCAACCAACTCAGCAAGTATGAAATATGAACTCGTGTATTGTAATAATAATTTCAAAACATGTTAAATATTAAGTTTTAGTTGTCCATAACAGTATTTACTCGAGTACGTGTAGCATAGCCACAGATTATAATTTACCACTGGCATTTCTCGATAAACATTAAATGACAATCGCAATAAAAAACCTAGTAACTAGTATTGGTAAATTATTTATTTGTTGATTAAGCTGCTATTATTTTTAAATAAAATATTTTATCTAAGAAAATGTATTTATATAGAAACACGAGACACTTTTGTAGGGAAACCGATATTTTTTTAAGCATATTGGCATTCATATCATTGCTATGGATGTCATTAACTCGGCTTACACCGACCCAACGAAATGGGCCATTGTCGGATATTGCCCTTAACAAAAGACAATCATGGATAAAATATCACCGACAACACCACGTCCTTATGGTTTCATTTTTCATTTTGAATTCTACGCAGTTTCCTCTTAATAGTCACAACCAGCGTATGTATGTTTACACTAGAAAGCTAGCTGATACAATAACAAGACCCCTTCGGATTTATGACAGCTTGAAAAACATACATTTTTGGGTAGTTTCGAATGAGTTTATCGATAAAAGTAATTTTATTAATACTTTATTACCTACCACGAAAACCGTTATTGTAATATAATTGATTACTTTTCTGTAAGGTTTGTATGTTTATATTATGCAAGATATATCTTACATTAAAATGAATAAAACGTGTTAGTATTAGAAGAATTTCCGCTCCCTCTGTCTCGCCTTTATCTATTTAAAAAAAAAAAAAAGGAAAAATTAAGTGGAAAAGCGACGTTGATTGTCGAATGTCGTTAGCGGTAATCGGCTATAAAAACAAACGCGAATAGATAGGGTATTACAGAGAAGGCAATGTGGCCGAAAACTTAGCTGGGACCGATTATCGCGTTTCCCATCGGATGTCCGTCGTCGTGCGAGTCCCTTAGTGTAGATTTAGGCAGTTGGATACATGGCAACGACAGCTATTTGACGTATATTGACATGGGATGGGAATGGGGGGGGGGGGTTTAGCCCTTGGACTGAAAAATGATACACCCTAATATCCCAACGACCTGCGATCATTAATAGACCATGGCGTGCTCGGCCTTTGCTTCCGATGTACAGATGCCACGGTTTTTTTGTGCGTCACCGCCTTCCGCAATCAGTTTTATCATTGTTTTACAGCCACAATACCTACCGTACTATACGCAGGGCCAAGCAAAATCCGGAATATTTGGATTTTTGGATTTTCCCGAGTTCTGATTATAATAATATGCAAATGGCCGGCTGCTTAACGGACTGACGACACGCGTGTACGGCATCACGTTTGGACAATTAAATTTACAACACACGTTATGAGAAGAAAAGGTTTGACATCGTTATTTTTTAAACGGTCAAATTTGTAATTCTACCGTACCACCTCAGTTGCTTTTATACAAACATCGAACACCCGAGCTTACTCGAGTACAGTGTTTTTTTTTTTTTTTTTAACCACGACCGTTTGAAACGGGCGACGTAACTAGCGCATAAATATTCAGACATTCGAACGTTACTCGATACGTGACCCAGACCTCGTGTTGTTCACATTTCGGACACATTGAAGTGATTTGTCGAAAAAGCGGCCCACATTGTATAATAATATGTCATGTGTGTTTGTTTACACGGAACAGGGTGGAAAGTATTGATTAAATTGGCCAAGGGTGCGGACCTGATATCGGTCACTTTATATTCAGCTGTAACGCGTCGTAATATTTGCTTGTATAAATATCTGCCAGGACATCTGGATTGCATCAACTCGACTCGAGCGGTCCACTCGTTTTTTTGAAATTAATAGTGTCAGGAAATTTTACCTCATTATGTAAAACGGGCAAATACATCAACCGTGTACACGCTTCAAGTTATTGGTTGTCGAAACGTCGTTTAAAAGATTCAAGAGT